TGACGTGAGGCAGATGGGCGGGACAGGGCGGGCTCTTACGTGGGCAGCTGGACGGGACTGGACAGGCTCTGACGTGAGGCAGATGGGCGGGACAGGGCGGGCTCTGACGTGGGCAGCGGACGGGACTGGACCGCTCTGACGTGAGGCAGATGGACGGACAGGGCGGGCTCTGACGTGGGCAGCTAGACGGGACTGGACAGGCTGACGTGAGGCGAGGGGCGGGACAGGGCGGCTCTGACGTGGGCCAGCTGGAACGGGACGGACAGGCTCTGACGTGAGGCGATGGCGGGACAGGGCGGGCTCTGACGTGGGCAGCTGACGGGACTGGACAGGCTTGGACGTGAGGCAGATGGGCGGGGGAGAAGGGCGGCAGGGAGGGCTTGGGAGTTCTGGGCAGCGGGAATGGAGTACGTGAGCGAGTGGTGGCGAGGCGGATTTTGACGTGGGAAGATGGACGGGATGGAGGCTCTGACGTGGGAGGGCGGGACGGGCGGGCTCTGACGTGGGCAGCTGGACGGGACTGGACGGGCTCTGACGTGAGGCAGATGGACGGGACAGGGCGGGCTCTGACGTGGGCAGCTGGACGGGACTGGACAGGCTCTGACGTGAGGCAGATGGCGGGACAGGGCGGGCTCTGACGTGGGCAGCTGGGACGGGACTGGACAGGCTCTGACGTGAGGCAGATGGACGGACGGGAGGCTCGACGTGGGCAGCTGGACGGATGGAAGGCTCTGACGTGAGGCAGCTGGGGACAGGGCGGCTCTGACGTGGCAGCTGGACGGACTGACGCTTGACGGCAGATGGGCGGGACAGGGAAGGCGGGCTCTGACGTGGGCAGCTGGACGGGACTGGACAGGCTCTGACGTGAGGCAGATGGGCGGGACAGGGCGGGGCTCTGACGTGGGCAGCTGGACGGGACTGGACAGGCTCTGACGTGAGGCAGATGGACGGGACAGGGCGGGCTCTGACGTGGGCAGATGGACGGGACTGGACAGGCTCTGACGTGAGGCAGATGGGCGGGACAGGGCGGGCTCTGACGTCGGGCTGATGGCTTGATTCGGCCGATAGACCAAACACATGACAAAGCCTCCGTTAGGATCTGTATCCGAAGCCACCGTCAGTCAACTACTTCCTACCTACCCCGCGGTCGTCATACAAGAATATCCGGCATCATGTAGCACATGTGGTTCGGTGGTGAGAAATTAAAGCATGGCTTATTTTAATGTTAAATGGGGCAATGGGTTTGCCCACGAATTATTGGAAACAAAAGAAGGAAAGCATTGGATTGAGTTGGGACGCGTACTGAACCCCATACTTTTAACTATTTGTTGATTTATTTATTATGTTTCCGAGCATAAAGAGCATTTGCAACGTGAACAGCCATGGTCTCTGCATTCATGCTGCGTTTATGTAGTTGTCAGCCACATTGTCTGAAGTGATATTAAACCATACTTGGTCGGTAAAATAGGTTTTCCATGACCGAGGTCTTTGTCGCATTTTCTCTCCGAGACCGTAGGCTGAAGTAGAAGTTAGACTTAATCATGACCGAGGTCCTCGAAAATTTGTCTCGTCTAAGGATGGTGTGATTTGCACCACATGTCGCTTGATGGCATGAATAATGAAAATCGTTATCCAAGATAATATGCACTTGGTGCTAACTGAATGTTGTTAATACGACTGATTTTGTTCACTTAAATTTAGTATGTTCCGAGTGCCTCATTTTTAAAGATTTGTGGAAAGATCACCCATTGTGAAATAAAAATTCCTGGTGTGGAGGTCCGAAAGCGTTGATAAATTAACATAATGTTCGATCTCAGAGAGCCAAAATCCGTGCACTGCACGTCAGCGCTTGTGTTTAAAACGCAATATAACGTATGGTATTTATACTAGTACACACATTACATATGAGGGATGTATGCACAGTGAAATGATATATGCTGTAGATTGCAGGACAAACGTAATGACACTGGTAAAATGAACTCCAGCTAAATTTGAATAGGCCGCATACGCGCAATGTCCCGCGGCGAAATACCAACAACTCGAGCGGGTCGCATCAAATGCCCATTTTTTTACACTTTGGATTCCAGTAGACACTGCACCGACACTTTGAATGACATTTTTACACTGGCAGGTATTATTTTCGTCAACTGTGATGCAGCCAGTAGTAAGGAATACTAGTACACGCGTGGTCGCGACAACTTTGTGCAAAAGGTGCCCAGCACACGAGCCATCCTGTTTTTTGTTGTTGGGGGGGGGGGGGGGGGAGGGGTTGGTTGGTTGCCCTCAAATACTGCATGCAAGTGGTGTGGTAGTCAGAGCGTGCGGCAGTGTTAAATTCCGAGATCTCTCATCGCAATGATGTGTGCCGTGAGATTGAGCTTAATATCCACTACAGTAAACAAATTCACTGCCTCCGGTTTTTTTCCTAATGGTGGTACATTAGCAGCCTTGGTGGCTTAGCAGGTAAATAACCAGATATTGATTATTGTTATTACCTTTGCCAGCAAAGCAACATCCAGATAATCATTTCAGCTGCATATTCGAGCGAAAAACAGATAAGCATTGTCACGTGGGTTATCGATATATTTTGCAGCACCATCGTAAATTGCATCCATAAAATACAGATTCCAAACTTAAGGATCAGTCGTTGACTCCCATGAAACAGCATTATGACACAAGCGGCCTCTGTCGCGCGTACTAAAACCTGGACAACTTTGTGGCGGCGCATAGAACGACACGCTTAGCCACACGTCCAGCTCCGCGATCCCAGCAGACACCAGCTCTGCCGCGGCCGTCCAGCTGCGTGGTAATCGGCGTCACTGATTGTCAAGGCGTGCGTTCAGTGGCTGACGGCTGCTGCTGCACGCTGAACACTCCCGCCCTCAGCATTCCCCGGAGGGAGGGGTCTGCGGCGGCGGCACGCGCCTGACTGACGCACCGACAGTTAAGCGCGACAGGGGACAGAGGCCCGCCGGGCCAAACTCCTCCTGCCAATCATCGTCCAGGGCCGCACAAAAACTGTTTTGAAAGTTTGACTTGATCACCGATGCAGGGGACTAACCGCAAACGGTCCCCACGGCTGCTGTAAGAGCAGCCACGCGGCAGTATTTGGAAAGTGGGCAATCTAGCGGGGGCGGACCGCCCGACCCCCCCCCCCCCCCTGCAGCGATCACGACGGCGGCACGAGGCAGTTGGTGTACCCGGCGGCGACTCGCCATGACCGAGCGCTGGGCTCATTATGAAAGATCAAACCTGGGGGCGTGGGAACACGTTTTACGAGACGATGGGGCTTAGCTTGTTGGCTTTTTGGCGCGTGCATACGATGCATATTGTTAGGATTATTAACTATGTTGCGCTCTTTAATTAGTTAAAACTTAGAGACCCGTTCATGATAATTGCTATATTAACTGATCGAAGACCACGCCAGAAATCGCACATAGTCATGGAAATCAGACGGCAGATTATCACCACCTCTCACTTCAATCGCTAACGATTTTTTTGCAATTCATGCACTAAACAGCATTGAACATCAGTCAGAAAGTATGAGAAGCGGCTGAATTGTTAATGAAAAGATATCTGAAGAAATAGGAAAACCTAGTGCTCTGCTTAATGGACGTTCATTTGTGCAGACATTGATAAGCTTTCGGGACTCAGCGATCACTCGGCAGCCTTGTGTTCCTAGCGCTCAATTAACCGAGAACTGTATTAATTAACCCCACTTTCTGCTATGATATTCATGCCAACCAGATCGCCATAGCCCCACATAATAGTCGACGTACTTTATAAACACATCTTGACGGTGATAAAGAATGTCCGGAAAACATGTGACTGCATCACTACGCTGTCTCGATTTCACGTCGCAGAAGCTGGACCCGGCGGAATCTGACACCCCAAAAAAAAAACGTATGCTCCATCATCATGCCTCTGTTTGCTGTATGAAAGTGCACGTTGAATTCAACTTATCATTTCGAAAACTATGTTTTGAGTGTTTTCTACAATTTTCATTCAGGAGACTTTCCGTGAAATTTAACATCTCAAAACGATACAAAACGCTCGTTGATTTTGTACCGTATCGAGATGAGTTTCAGATAACAAGAATATATCGGAAGAGAAGGCCATTAAAATCGTGCAGTCATCAAAAGAGGGTATGATTCCTTGCTAGATTGGTAAACGTCAAATAAACTTGGCAAAAGAGCTTCTGTGACGCACTGGAAGGTGCGTTACGCAGTCATCCGGTGACCAGCGTAAAGTGCGTCAAACGCCATTCATCTGTGTGGCCTACTGGCTTACTGACTTACGTCAGTATTTACCGTACCAGGGAACTACGCTATTTGACGTCCAAATTTCAGGCCACTTCCACGCCCAAATCTTGAAATTATCGTGAGAACGTTGATTAATCGCACCCGTGTGTGGGGACCGAGGCTGAATGGGGGCGCTTTTTGTACGTCCTCTTGTATCTTTACGACAGGAGGCCTTCTCAGCCATAAATATTGAATTAAAGCGCTTCACCACGTCGTTGTCGCCACTCTAGCCTTCTAACAAAGGCAGCGACAGGTGAGCTTTTACTGTGCAAATGCCGTGTTTAACATGGTATGTCTTTTTATATTTTTGCCACACAGTATTCACAGGTGGTTTGCATTATTACAAAATGCTTCAAATGTTAATATAAACATATATACTCAGCCATCAAAAATGGTCTACCTTCCGCATGGGCAGGATCATCTATGACGTCACGTAATTTGAGAAGTGTATTACATGTGCGTGTACCTCATTGTGGGCACTAACGCAAAAACCGGCAGCATATTCACTTTGACGTAATAAAGAACTCTGGAAGCGATATCAAACAACGGCTTATAGTCATGTTTTCAAGCTATTGGCTTCGTGTTTCTCACCGCTAGAATTCGTCTCAGTGGTTTTCTGTGACCCCCTGTTACGGGCAATCGTCTCAGGAACTTGTAAAGCCCTCTCAGGTATAGACAGCCGTCGTCACTGCGACTTACGTGATCCACCTGTAGATGCCCGACACTGTCAGCTCTCCCTCCTCAAGCAGGGCTTGCTCGATCAGCTCAGTGTAGGTAAATGGAGGCTTGCTCGTCGAGCTGGCGTAATAACCTGAAATAGCGATTAAATTGTTAGCTGACATCAGCTTCATCAGTGAACCGTAGCAGGAATAATCCCGGTTGTGTGCATCTGCTTCGCTCCAAAATATAAACACAATATGGAGGTGAAACGTAATTGCGATTCCTTGCAAACGGTTGATGCTTCCAGAATGCACAATTATCTTAGCAAATAAGGGAGTGATAGTGAAGTAAGCTACTTCCACAATACTCAGATAGTTGAGCGAGTGAAGGGATATGATGAGTATGTCGAGTGAATTTTATAACGACGAGGACCAAGAGAATGGCATCGCTTAGCTGGCACGAGCGGAAAGAACAGTTTGCTCTCTGTTGTTTCCTGTCTTTGAGTTCGTATTATTGAGACAAGTTCGCGAGACTTTTCGCCATGTTGTCCCAGCTGTCTTGTCCCGTTCAGTTGATTGGTTACATATCACGTCACATGAAATAGACGTCTCAGCAGTGGTTTCTAGCCAGGAGGGCGGGAAACAAATTATCAGATGCACTGGAAACGTACCTCTTTGGTCGTGAATTTAAGGGAAGGGCACCAAGTCTCGTTTGACAACTATCCTGAACCCAGCTGTATCTGGCCGCTCAAACTGATCGGATGGAAAATATTTGCAACACTGTTGGCGCGTTGTTCACGCATATCGGCAAAATAATTACACAAATTATGCTACGGGATCCATGTCTCAAATGATTTCTTATCGTGCTTTTGTTATTCCTACGGGGCTTGATGGTATGTCTGTCGAGCAACGCAAATGTGAATAAACACAAATATGCTGCCGTTTACTTTTCAGAACGTAAAGAAGGTCCGATGTTACCGCATGCTACATGAAGCCATGACCCTTTGGATAAGTTTGAACATGCAATCTCAAGTGTATCAAACAAGTGGATCAAAAAATGCCTAATGGCATTGTTTCCGTGTTTTCGACACCAGAACTGGCATCACCTTGGCCTTCAGCAAACCAGGCGTTTCTTTCTTAACGTGCCATTTTGAACCATTATTCTTATCCGCTAGCTAGGTCCCATTTTACGTCAATCTTTCGTTAACCTGGCACGACCTTAACCTTGCTGCGCGTCTGGAAAACCAGATGTAAGGGTTTCGACTCCCCGCGGTGCCCACCCTTGGTGCCGGAGTGAGAGGCAAGGGACGCCACATAGCTTCAGCAGCTGGAATTGTCGTGAGGCCCCAATGGCGACAGCTACGTACGGGAGATGTGCGCGCGCGCCGCTCTTACCCTGTCGCTCTCTGTTCTGCGCGATCTTGAACGGATCCTCGACCACCGTCTGCAGATTTGCGGCATCCCAGTGGCTTTGGGGAGGGTACGCCGCCGATTGTGGCTGCTGCTGCTGCTGGTGGTGGTGCTCCTGCTGTTGTTGTTGTTGTTGTTGTTGCTGTTGTTGTTGCTGCTGCTGCTGCTGGTGCTGTTGATGCTGCTGATGCTGCTGCTGATGGTGGTGGTGATTCTGCGTCTGCTGGACGGTCTGCTGCTGTTGCTGTGGAGTGAGTTGTTGCTGCCGGCAGTCTGCCGCCGCCGGCTCCAGCAGGTGGTCCAGACGGTAGTCGAGCAGCCAGAGCAGGCTAGCCACGTCGCAGTCGGCCCGGCTGGTCGGTGACGCCCGCAGCCGCGGCTCCTCGCACCGCGGCGCCAGCAGGCCGACCTCCTCGCACCGCGGCGCCAGCAGGCCGGCCTCTGCTTCCGCACAGCGCGGTCGCAAGCCGCCACACGCCTCCTCTGCAGCGACGGCACGCAGCCGCTGCTCACCGAAAAGCTCAGGCGAGAGTGACGCCTCGTGCGCCGGGTCGGGACTGGGCTGACCGGTTGGTGGCGTCCAGGCCTGGTAGGGCCCGCTCCACTCGGCGTCCGGTGCCGCATGCAGCCGGCCATCCGGTGCCGTCCCGTACGCTGACGACACGTACACCGTCTGCTTGGTGTCGAGGTCGCACAGCTGGCTGGCCATGTCCGGACCGTGCGCGCCCATGTGCATGTCGCCGGCGGCCGAAGCTGGCGCGACACTGGCTCTCGGCCCGACGCTGCGCTCGTCGGTCGCCGGGGGCGGGGAGATCGCCAGCGCTCGTCGGCAGCGACGAACGACAGGCCGGCGCGTCGCCCCCGGCACCGCCCCTCCCGGGAGCGGCGGGCGAATCTGCGGCGGCCGTCCCTCCCCGCCACACCGCTGCTGGGGAACGGCGGCGGCCGCACGGTCGGCGGCGGGTACCGCCGAGACACCAGACAGCAGCAGCACGCAGCACGCTGCAGCTTGATACACGCAGGCGTTGAAAGTCTGACAGCGGTCTGATCACGTCGACACCATCGTGCGTGGCAGTGTGTACCGTAATGAAAACAAGACGTACTCCCATAATCCAACCCAGATTTAGTTTACTGAAAGCGTGAAGTTGTGATTCTTGCCAAGTGGCTAAATGTACCGACTTTTATCACGGTAATAGCAATTCAAGCCTATTCTAAAGTGGGCTACATGCACAGACTTTTAACACGGTTATAGTACTTCGAGCCGATCATGATATGCAAGTGACTGTTGGTAGGAACGACATGCAACACCAATCTTTTGTTCGAGTAGAGCAAGAAAGCACAACAGGTTCGGTGCTACATGTATCACGCGTCATATGTAATAGCTTTAGAAACGTCCTCGTCACATACATACGCACGCAAGCACACCCACGCACACACACACACACACACACACACACACACACACACACACACCACACACACACACACACACACACACACACACATATATATATATATATATATATATATATATATATATATATATATATATATCAAGGCATATCTAGTCCTCATCAGTCTTCTTCTCAGTCCTTCCGAGCTTTCGTATTGAAGATTTAGTTTCGTTGGGTCATTATAGGTGGGGGCACGATCATCATAGGTGATATTGCCCAGAGTCGAGATACATATTGTAATTATGATGTGTATAATCACTTACTTTTCGTGAAACGTTTCAGAAAGACATATTTCCATTATTAGGTAAAGCAGGCCTCGAAACCATCTGTCAGTTTTAAACAAGTTGATACTGCTGACCAGGGTTCCACAATGGTGTCATTTTTCTTTCGAAGCATTTCTCATGTCAATTTCTCCTCCAGTCCCGAAGAGATCGCCCCAGCGTTGTCAGTAGTGTTTATAACTGGAAGAAAGTCATCATCATAGTCTGAGGACATCGCATCAAATGTGAAAAGACAAACGGAAAAAGCCATAAGAAATCAAATCTAACTGGGTCTAAAAAAGTATAATGTCAAAAGCCAAAAGATAAAGATAGCACACAAGAAATCACATGGGCAAAAATTTGGCAGTAAAAACGTCAAACAGGCAAGAGTTAGGATGGAATAAGAGCAAAATTCATAAATGCAAACAGGCAATAAGCCAAAAGAAATAAAATTCAAGGAGGTATAAGTGAACATGCCACAGATCAGACACATTAAGTCAATTAAGCAACAAATCAAATGGGATGATGATCCGATCAACGCAAGTCGAAAGACAAATTCAAATAGAAAAAAGAAGCCAAAAGAATGCAAGTGCAGAAGATATAAGGCTAATGCAAAGAGTCTGCAAAATCGGGCGGCTTCAAAATCAAGCAGGTCCTGAGATCCTGTTGTAAATGACCGCCCGGGGTCGCTTCCGGACAAAATCCGAAGGCGAGAGGCGAGAATATGTTTTTGCCGCTCCCGCTGTGGAGGGCCCTTTTATCCAAGCTGACAGTTTTGTATTTACACATGTGCTATCAAAATTCAGATCGAGGAGGCCTCATTGCTGAAACTCATAGTCCTCAGCCGAATTCAGGATGCTCTTTGCTACATCAAGAGGCCACTTTACGAGTTAGTGATGTTCTGCTCTAGAATAGAAGTTCCGTTCTATGTTAGGGTGGGATCGAGAGGGCCTTGACTCGAGAGACCTTCTTCGTGAATCAAAAGACCCCTTTTCGGCTTAGGAGGCACTGTCTTTAAGTCAGAAAGCCCTTGTTCTGGATCAGAATGCTTCTTTAGGTATCAAGGAAAGCTCTTGCTCCAGAAGGCCCCTGTGCCGGAGTCAGGTTGCTGCCTGTGGTGGGATGAACAAAGATTGAACAAAAACCAGCTAGGTAACAGATCTGCGGCCCCTAACCCATACTGGAGCTTCTGATCGCTCCACGTCGGGTAAAACATGTAGCCAGGAAAGATCCTGCACCCGATATATCTTGGTAACATCACAGAGTGATGTCCCTTTGGTGAAATTTTGAATCGATGTTTAAAATTTTGTCCTTCTCATTGTTCAATGCGAGCATGACATGAAAACAAATTGTAGCGCATTCTTATGACAACTTCCATGGCTTATAGCCACAACAGTCGATACACATCTGCAAAGAATACATAAGCACTGCAGAACATTCTTTCACTATGGCACGTCCTTAAATAAGATTATTAATATGTAAAACTAGCTCTGTCTTTATTCGCGGTAACACCTTGGTAGACGGTGGCATCAGTTGTTTTTGACATAAGTTGCGGCGAGCGTGTGGTCGTGCGCCCACGCGCTCACACTATTTATGTGAGGCAGAAGGGGCAGAGCTTAAGTTTACTAATGTTACCACGGCGGATTTTGGGAAAACACTAGTCCAGTTAACATGACGGCTTTTAGAAGACTGGCACAGTTCACATGGCGGCTTTCGAGAGAAGACTGGCCCGGCGCGCAGAGCCGGACGCGGTCGGTAGCGGGATTGTTTTGCTGCAGTGTGGTTGCATGGCATTAAATAAGATTTGTTGGTGTGTGTTAGCATGGCTATATACAAGGTGCTGACGCTGCAGGCGGCAGCCCTCTCGGCCCGGCCGGCTGACCAAACGTCAACGGATGACATCACAAGCGCGTACCGATTGACACCTTGGGGCAAGCTGTGTAGCGTATCAATGTAACGCGTTAAAAAGTTATAGCTCCTGTTCATGGTGATAAGACAACATGAAAAAACATTAACGTACTAATCAACGCACAAACGGTAATGAGACATAACATCAAACACATTCACTCATAATAATGTATTTGTTCTATTGAATGGCCCATTCTAACAAGTGGACACACTTTTCATCGCAGGCCCGTAACTGCTTGGGTACAGACTAAGCGTCAGTGCAAAGCCTAAGCCTCAGAGCTGTGTTCTGGCACACATCTACTGACGACAGTAGAAGGCGTGTGCCAGCCGGGTTCACGCGGTTCGCGGGAGGCCGGTGGGGAATGCTGGCGCGGCGAGCGGGTCACGCGGCCGGGCGGTGCCGCACGATTCGGCGGCCGGCAGTGCGGCGCGGGACGGCGACCGGATGCTGATTAAGCACCTATGCTGGCAGAGGCGGCCACTACGGCCTCTCCAGTTAAGTCAGTTGACGCGCAGCTGAACATCTGACTAGAGTTGACACCGGAGCAGTTGAGATCGTGTGGACAGCAGCGCGTCCACTGGCTGCCGGATGTGAGTTCCCTGAGACGGTCGGCGCTGCTCTCATAGCAGAGGCTCGTCTCCGCTCGCTCGGGTCGATGGTGGCCGGCGTTGATTTAGCTACAGTGACCACAGCGAGCTGGTCTTCGCCTGATGTGGTGACTTAGTAGCCCATGTGATACGGCGTGATACGTGTGATGCTGCGTCATACTGTGATACTGCATGATCCGCCGGCCTAGGTGAGCCTTGTCCGGATCTTGCTCTGTGTGTTGTCGATGATGGGGTCCGAGGCTATCGGGACTTGAACACGTGGGTCTGGGCTGCATCCATGGTAGGGCTGACTCCGGTGAGCTGTACCCAGTAGCCCGATCAGGTGAAGCGGCCGGGCGGTGGTGCGACGCAAGGTGAGCAGGTACCGCCTTGATCAAGGTACGGCGTTCGAACCGTGAGACCGGAGCACGGTCAGCGGTTACACAGCGGGTGACCAGCGGGTGACGTCCTTGTCCGACTCGTTGTGAACTAAATCACTTGCTGATCTTCCTGGAATGTCAGAGTCAGGCGGAGCGTTTGGGTTTCGGCAGAATACAGGCAGTATTGTTTTCATACATCTTGGTCCGGATGTTGAAATGACAAGGAGCGCTATAGGATAGCTGCTACGACAGTAGTCGCTGCGGTCAGCGTGTGGACGTGAAGGAGTGGTGTCGTTCGTAGAATACGTATACGGTCGTGGACTTGGTTCAATGTGGATCTTTTGCCCGACAGGGACGGAACCGCTTGCGTCATCTGTCTTAGTGAGGTACTGTGTCGTTTGAGGTCGGTTAGTGCATGGGGTGGCGGAGATCGACGGAAGCTAACTGAGTGGAAACCCTTGCCCCGGACATATATGACGCTGGCAGGCTGGAGTGCTGGCAGAAGTCGCCTAGCCTTGGCTGACGGCTGGTGAGCTCCACAGGCGAGGTAAGTTATGCAATACTTGTCCAAGAGCATGAGTTATTTTGCTTGTCATTTAGCAAGTGTTACGTGTAGCCATAGTTCCAGAATCTGCAACACTTTTCAGCAATGTAGGTCGTTTACACACTTCGCTATTTTGTCAACGCCTGAGGTCGTTGCAGCGCCAATTTGAGTCAGAATAATTTGTTCGACATAACCTACGGTATGTGTTATTTCTTATATTGTTGAGCGACACGAAGGCCCCGTTTGTTTCAAAACAGAGAAGTGTTCTTACATTCATCGGTATGTATTGAAGTACGCAGACTCACCGATAATGTATCTCTCTCTCTCTCTCTCTCTCTCTCTCTCTCTCTCTCTCTCTCTCTCTCTCTCTCTCTCTCTCTCTCTCTCTCTCTCTCTCTCTCTCTCTCTCTCTCTCTCTCTCTCTCTCTCTCTCTCTCTCTTCTCTCTCTCTCTCTCTCTCTTTCTCTCTCTCTCTCTCTCTCTCTCTCTCTCTCTCTCTCTCTCTCTCTCTCTCTCTCTCTCTCTCTCTCTCTCTGTCTGTCTCTCTATGCCCCCTGTCTTACTATCTCTCTGCCTCCCTGTCTCTCTGTCTCCCTGTTTCTCTGTCTGCCATCTGTGTCTCTGTCTCTGTCTCTCTGTCCTTCTGACTTCGTCTCTCTGTGTCTCTGTCTCTCTGTTCCTCTGTCTCTCTGTCTCTCTGGCTCGCTGTCCCGCTGTCTCGCTGTCTCGTTGCCTCGCTGCCTCTCCGTACCGTTTGCACAACCTAACTATCCGCGAAGGTACCTCACCACCTGAATGGCGTATACCGATGTCCATGTCACCTTTTCTAAAAAATATTCTCGGTAACATTTCCACTAAAAAAGCTGGCCATGAAAATATCCTTTTTTGAGAAGTTTATCCGAAAGATACCTTCAAAAGTATTGTCACTTGTTTTTGTAAATTTCCGGAAGGTGCTGCTATGTTCCATAAGGAGATTCTGGTCTACCAGATCTAGGGACTTGCTGCACAACTGACGATAGTTGCAACTTGTTTCCGTCCCGGGCAATCCACGCGGTGTTACGGGCCGTAAAACTCGGTATGCATATACATACATATATATATATATATATATATATATATATATATATGCATATATATATATATATATATATATATATGCATACAGAAAAGAGTTTTATGGATTCGGTCGATATTTGATCGAGTCATTTTTGTCTGATATCGTGACATAAAGCTACTGGTCTCATGGTCGGTGGCACTGTTGGTGCAGCCATTATTTACTATGACTCGTTTGATGGGCGCGCTGCATCTGATTGGACGCACTGTGTAGTTGCGTCCAATCAGCGCAGAGTTTAAATGCTCTTCAGAGGTAGGAGCGCACTACACTGATCCTGTACCGGTCGGGATGTTTGCTTGTAGCACTGAGGCATCGTCCAGCATCTGTTGGCTTTTTGTACACTGTTGTCACGAATCGCTGTTGGTCAGCAGTGATGTCTATGCCTAAAAATACAATGCAATTATTGACGCTTAGTTCGTCGGTGAATCGAAGAGCTAAAGCTGGTTGCATTGCATGTTTTAGTTCGATTAGTTGGCATCCGCCACTGACGTTTACGAAAAGGCCATCGACATATCGTGTGTAAAATGCGGGACAGAGGGGTGCATTTTGAAGGACTTTGTTTTCTACGTGGCGTATGTGGGCGTTGACAAAAAGCGGTCTCAGGGGCACCCCTGACCTCTCCATTCCTTTGTTGGCAAAGTTTGTCATCTTGTGCACGAAGTGGTGCCTCTGTGGTACATGCTCGCAGGAGATTTTCCAGAAGGGAGCGACTAAGTTTAGGAGGAGAAATGGTTGCATGGTTATGGGTGTTTTCAAGAAGGATTTCTACTGTCTTTTTTGCCGGAACGTTTGTAACAAAGCACTCAACGTCCAATGATGCAAACCAGAAGATAGCGTGCTTTTTTTAGGATATCCGAGAACTCGTCCGCTAACTTCAGGCCGTACTTCATAGGAGTGTACTGTGCGATGTGGCAGTTGAGTTGCCTGGCCAGTTGGTAGGTTGGCGTTGGGCGCTGTGAACTGCTCGGGCGCGGCGGGTCTCCTGTTTTGTAAATTTTGCATAACCATAAGTGTAGCCGAGCTGGTAGTTTTCAATAGCCTTTTGGAAATGAACACCATCCCTGACAGCATTTGCGCAGTCTATCAATGTGTTCATTGTGGTTTTCAAGCTGGATGTAGTGTCACACATGATGTGTTCAAGCTTAACTTCATCTGAAAGTATTTCATTGGTCTTTTTATGGTTATCAGACTTGTCAACGATCACGAATAAGGATGTTTTGTCGGCTCTCCTTACCGTAATTTCGTCGTTACCTCTGGGAGTCTTGCGGCTGCTCTGAGTTCTTTGGTCAGGATCTTGCTTTTAGAGTAGCTACGGCTGATGGCACCTTCTCCAATCAGTCGATTCCGTAACTCCGGGTCTACTTCAACTTTACTACTACAGCGTAGTTTCAAAATGTCTTGATATGATAATTTCAGCTCTACTTTCTTGTCTGTTGCCTTGAATTCAGGCTGTAGGTGGCAGTTTAAACCCAAATTCAAGACGTTTCCTGTAAGTCCTGTGTAGATAGTTTGATAAAGCCTTCCTTTTTCTCCTGGAAAACGACAGATTCATCATAGAGGCAACACAACTTCTTCAGGGTTTTCTATTTGGGGGCATTCCCAGCTGACTGAGTGAGATGCGCATGCTCCGTTTCTATCGACGATTTGAGGCTGACATAAATATCTAATTCATGGAATTGTCTTGTCAGCTTCCTCACCTGTTCGCTTTGTAATGATGCCAGCTTTGCCTCTTCTTCCAACTATCTTCTCACGAAAGCCAAACGACACTCTTCCTTGAAAGCTGGTGCGTTGCTGCCTGGCCATGCATACACCATCAGGCATCAACCAAATCCAATCAGACTGTTCTATCTGAATCAAATGTCTGGTAGTTATAAGTTGGACGAGCGCATCCTCAAGAAAGTAATAGCTGACAACGTCAAGCCAGTCAGCTAGGACGAAAAGACACCGCTCATCATCTTGTAAGAGGAAGGTCACCCAACTCATCACGGAAGATAACCCCACGGCCAGATCTGACCCCTTGAAACGAACCAGCGTAGTTTACCAATGCCTTGTGACACTGGGGATTGCAGGCTCCTAAATCAATCAAGCTACATTGGTGTCAACACTATCACACTTTCAAGACCTTTGACTATGTGCTTGGCTGACAGTACCCCAAACGAGCACAAGAGAAAAGAACACGGCCGGAACATTAACCGCGACGACCTCACCAGAAGCACCACCATAATAACATCATCAAACAGGAGGAGGCTTTATATCCTGGAGGCTGACACGAGCAAGACATCGTCTCCGAATAGGAACAAACAAAACAACCGCTCAAAAACCTTTTACCTTATTTAGGGACGATCGATACCACCAGCAGATGGCATATCCTACTCTTCAGCATGTGTTTTGCCGCTTGAATTATTATGCTCCTAGAGAATGTCAACTACCTAAGTTAGGCTCTGTACGATTTGACGATCGAACTAAAGTTGATAATACCAAATTGTTATACCTTACTGGTTATACCTAACTGTAATATGTAATCATATATTTGTCGCCTATATGCTGTATGTGAGTGCTTTTGAAATGGAATATGTAATTTCAAAATGTCAGACCAACTAACAGGTGTCAAATATCAGCGAGTTTCCTTTTAGTCTTAATGATAACCAGGCAATCGTAATCAGCAAACGAGAACAAGTGCAGGAAAAACGCATTAAATGCACCTATCTGAACGTCTTAAACAACACTTATATAGAAGCCAATTTTGTGCCTGCATATCCCAATATATATATACATTGCCCGACAACCATTGCTCCGGTGGCATTGGTCACACCTCAGGCCTGGTGGTGGCAAAGCTGCTCCAGCTTACCTTTACTCTTGCCACAGCTGAACGCGTAACCTGTTTGTTCAGTGTTTACAGACTGCGATCTGCCTACACCGAACAAACAGAACGTTATTCACATACGCATGCGTGTGTGAATGATGTGTACCCGAAGCACCGGACGCATGGCTGGTGCAAGCGAGCTGCGGCATCATTGGCGGTGATGGAAGCCGTAACACATGCATCGCATCATCGCAACTGCGCACGGCTAAGCGTCAGGCGTGTCTACATCTGTATCGCGCAGTCTCATCGGATGCTGTAGGCGTACGTGTCTATATCTGTATCGCACAGTCTTCGTCGGAATGATGTAGGCGTACGTATCTATATCTGTATCGCACAGTCCCGTCGGATGATGTAGGGGAACGTATATGTATCTGTGTCGCACAGTCCCGTCGGATGATGTAGGCGTACGAGTGCAAGTGGGGCTGAGATGCGGTGTCCATCATGGGTGCAAACAAACGCTATTTGATCATTAAAACTGTATTTGCTATGAAGGTAACAAACCAAAATATACAAAATCTGTACGGACGATGATTGATATTTGTGATGAAATTGTTGAAGAAATTACGTTGCCTGTCAAGCAAGTAAATCAAGCTATTTGAAAGTCCAAATGGAGGAAGCATGACCGCGAAGAACATACTGCATCATTGGACAAAAAAAACATACCGCCGGCAGTGTCACCAGTGATGCATAAGCATCTATCATAGCGAGGCTTAAACTGATGAAAGCTACATAATTGGGCTAAAACACACAACCCAAAAGCTGGTTTTAACCAGTTTGGACGGGTCACATACCAGACGTGTGCAAGGAGAGCGTTCCAAATCACACTCGCTTCCACCGATTATGCGTGCACAAACAACATGACAAAACCTCCTAGTGAGCTTCACCCGTGACTTGCAACTGTAAGCCAGCACAGACAACGCGCCAGCCATAGCCTTATAGGGGCACCATTGCTGTCGCGGAACACAGTGACAACAAAGCTCGTCCACCTTACTCTTACGCGTACTGTGTGGGAGTAGCCCATATGACAGATAGACGCTAAACCTGACATGTGGCCCGCGACCATGGTCTCAGCTGCGATGGGCGACAAACCGATATTTAAAATGCGCCTGCGTCGTCACCTTCCTTTAAGCGGGACAGCAGTAGCGGCGAGCGTGCCCTATTAGGCATGCTCACCCCTCATCACCCACACGTGGGATCGGATCGCCACACAGGCGCAGGCAGCGCCCCCTCCCCACCTCGGCGCAGAGGCCGCCACCGGCGCGCTCAAATGCGCACCGACGGCGACGCCTGCTCGCGCTCATCCCGCAGCGGCATCTCCAGATCCATCGGCTTCTCGGCGAAGTCGATGTCGGGCTTGTTGGGCAGTGGCTCGCCAGTATAGTAGGAGCCATCCATGTGCTGCGGCTCCTTGACGCCCTTGACGCCCTCGCTGCTGAAGGTGGTGTCGACGTCGCTGCTGGACAGCTGGGAGCCGTTCTTGCCGCTGACGCCGCTGTCCGTGTCACCGCGCTGGTGTGGCCCGGACTGCAGGGGCACCTGCTGCTCGCGCCGCGGCTCCTCCGGCTCCGAGCCGGCCGCCTGGTACGTGTAGGCCGCGGGCGACGGTGCCACGCGGTTCTGCGGCCCGTTCTTCACCGCGTGCATGTAGAAGCACGTTAGCGCCACCACCAGGGGGATCAAATGGAGAGCGCGATGGCCGTCTGGATACCGGCGTACATCATCTTGTACTGGCTCTCGCCTGGAGGGAGAGGCGGCGGCAGTCAGGCTACGGACACCCTCTGCGGCACATGTCGACTGTCCTCATGAAAACACACAGGAGACGGCAGTCAGGCTACGGACACCCTCTGCGGCACATGTCGACTGTCCTCATGAAAACACACAGGAGACGGCAGTCAGGCTACGGACACCCTCTGGGGCACATGTCGACTGTCCTCATGAAAAAACACAGGAGACGGCAGTCAGGCTACGGACACCCTCTGCGGCACATGTCGACTGTCCTCATGAAAACACACAGGAGACGGCAGTCAGGCTACGGACACCCTCTGCGGCACATGTCGACTGTCCTCATGAGAAAAAACACAGGAGACGGCAGTCAGGCTACGCACACCCTCTGGGGCACATGTCGACTGTCCTCATGAAAACACACAGGAGACGGCAGTCAGGCTACGGACACCCTCTGCGGCACATGTCGACTGTCCTCATGAGAAAAAACACAGGAGACGGCAGTCAGGCTACGGACACCCTCTGCGGCACATGTCGACTGTCCTCATGAAAAAACACAGGAGACGGCAGTCAGGCTACGGACACCCTCTGCGGCACATGTCGACTGTCCTCATGAAAAAACACAGGAGAGGACAGTCAGGCTACGGACACCCTCTGGGCACATGTCGACTGTCCTCATGAAAAACACAGAGACGGCAGTCAGGCTACGGACACCCTCTGCGGCACATGTCGACTGTCCTCATGAAAAAACACAGGAGACGGCAGTCAGGCTACGGACACCCTCTGCGGCACATGTCGACTGTCCTCATGAAAAACACAGGAGACGGCAGTCAGGCTACGGACACCCTCTGGGGCACATGTCGACTGTCCTCATGAAAACACAGGAGACGGCAGTCAGGCTACGGACACCCTCTGCGGCACATGTCGACTGTCCTCATGAGAAAAACACAGGAGACGGCAGTCAGGCTACGGACACCCTCTGGGCACATGTCGACTGTCCTCATGAGAAAACACAGGAGACGGCAGTCAGGCTACGGACACCCTCTGGGGCACATGTCGACTGTCCTCATGAAAAAACACAGGAGACGGCAGTCAGGCTACGGACACCCTCTGCGGCACATGTCGACTGTCCTCATGAGAAAAACACAGGAGACGGCAGTCAGGCTACGGACACCCTCTGGGCACATGTCGACTGTCCTCATGAAAAAACACAGGAGACGGCAGTCAGGCTACGGACACCCTCTGCGGCACATGTCGACTGTCCTCATGAAAAAACACAGGAGACGGCAGTCAGGCTACGGACACCCTCTGGGCACATGTCGACTGTCCTCATGAGAAAAAACACAGGAGACGGCAGTCAGGCTACGGACACCCTCTGCGGCACATGTCGACTGTCCTCATGAGAAAAACACAGGAGACGGCAGTCAGGCTACGGACACCCTCTGCGGCACATGTCGACTGTCCTCATGAAAAAACACAGGAGACGGCAGTCAGGCTACGGACACCCTCTGCGGCACATGTCGACTGTCCTCATGAAAAAACACAGGAGACGGCAGTCAGGCCTACGGACACCCTCTGCGGCACATGTCGACTGTCCTCATGAAAACACACAGGAGACGGCAGTCAGGCTACGGACACCCTCTGCGGCACATGTCGACTGTCCTCATGAAAAAGCACAGGAGACGGCAGTCAGGCTACGGACACCCTCTGGGGCACATGTCGACTGTCCTCATGAGAAAAAACACAGGAGACGGCAGTCAGGCTACGGACACCCTCTGCGGCACATGTCGACTGTCCTCATGAGAAAAAACACAGGAGACGGCAGTCAGGCTACGGACACCCTCTGCGGCACATGTCGACTGTCCTCATGAAAAACACAGGAGACGGCAGTCAGGCTACGGACACCCTCTGCGGCACATGTCGACTGTCCTCATGAAAAAACACAGGAGACGGCAGTCAGGCTACGGACACCCTCTGGGCACATGTCGACTGTCCTCATGAAAAAACTGTCAACTCTGGCCTCATGTCTCCTCCTGTCTTTGGGTGCTGACAAACTTGCTGGCGTCGTCGGCCTTCGTACTCGGGCCACGTCACGTGACCGTGGTACTCACTGATACAGCTGACCTCGCCATCCTCGGGCCAGCTCCAGTCGCCCGAGGCGTAGCACCAGCGTCGCGCCTCGCCCACCAGAATGTAGCCCGGGTCACACTCGAACTTCACCATGGTGCCGGGCGTGAAGGCGAACGTGTTCTTGCGGCCGTTCTGCGGCGTCGGCAGTGCGCCGCACGAGGTGACTGTGGACACACACGGACGCTCAGGGGTACACCATGCGACTGCGGACACATCTTCTGCGGCGGCAGACGCATGTTTTAACATTCGGTTTTTTGCATCCCATTGTGGGATGGGACTGACGGTCTCATGCTTCGAGATAATGGTGGTAAATTCTGTTGTCATTGTACGGTACATGGGTGCAGGCCACCAACGTCTACTGTCCACTTCATCAGCTAAACACATATTGCTTTCAGCATTTTTGGATATCCAGGCACCAATCATGCCATGGCAACACATGATGTGGTGAACTGTTTGATACCACAAAACCAAATTATGCATTTCGCGTATTTCGTCAAAATCCACAACAGCTTTCACTCATATGTCTCTTGCGTGACTCGAATGCACTGATTCACTCGCTGTACTCACTTGTCTGAAGGCCCAGTGATTTGGTGTTAACGAACTCGTCTTGATAGAACTTGGAGAAGACGGCGACGTCGCGTCGCTCCGACATGATGAAGTCGTACGAGCATTGGTAGGAGTCGCCGCACACTCGCTTCACCTCATCAGCCGTCAGAGTGCTGAAGGTGACGGCAGGAGTTATGGATGACCACGACATCATGACGACAACCGATGCACCACACTGCTACTTCTAAGCTTTCCATCATAACCGTGCATTATAAACGGACGGTGTATCGTAAGAGTGGAGTTTTTCACCATAGAGAACGTTGTCGTGCCTGATGTTTCAACCGTCGGCACGTGACGCGAAATTAAAGGGCTTGACACATGTAAAGCCTTGCCGGTTTGTTCAGACTGGGAGCAGCTAGCAAATATGGTGAAATGAGAATGGCTAGATTTCATCATGCTGACGTGCTTTCCTTTATGACATGCTCGTATATGTTGCCATGTCTAGAGCACTCCAACAGCTCACACATTTCCATACCTGTTATCAGGGATGTCCGGTATTTGGTCAAAGACCGGAAGAAAGCTTGGATCATAGTAATTGCTTGAGGATCGGCCGTTCTCGTGGTAGAAAAGGGAGCCGCCCTTCAAAGGGTCCTCCTTGTCGTCCAATAGCCCTGTCAGTGGTAACGCAACGTGTCACCCGAGAACCCGAAGATAGCCTTTCTGTTCAGTTCTGCACCCGGTTGGAAAATGAAGCGGGCAAAACAAATATTATACATGTCATCATTGTTATTTCGGCGCATCAATCGCGCAGGATGGTGTCTTCACCTGCCCTACTGAAAGCAAGGGTCGTTTCCTGCGGATGTTAAATGAATTTAAGATGCTACAATTCGAGACGAAACGCCTTTTTATGTGGTCCCAGCATAAGTGAACCCATTCCAAAATGTTCGCTTTCACTATGAAACCCGGCCAATGCATTGACTAGCCGCACCACCGCCTGTCGCTTCCCAGGTGCTGTTCTATGCTCTTAACGGATATTTGCCGAAAATATGCGTATGCGAACTAAGCAGTAATCTAGACATTCGATTGGACTTTACATGGACTGAATAAAATTTCAAAATGGTATCATTACCGGTGGTGAAAGGGCATTGGTACTGATAACCTCCCGTGCTGTTCTATTTTTATGACGGCAATATGACGTTCTTGTTTATGTTCACTACAAATGAATGCTGAAAAGTAAATGGGTACATGCACCACTTGCTTGGTAATGCCTTATGGCACTGATGTACAAAAGTGGACTTACGATCATGATACAGAGTACCATTATCACAATAGGTAGCCGGATCAGATTTGAAAGAAAATTCATGGACCACGAGGATCGGCGGTGAATTATATCTGCGATCCACGTTTAAGTTGAAGGGAATGTTGACCATTCAGTTCGCAAGACCTGTGTAGCGTTTCATCTTCGCAACCCTGGGTTCAGATAAGGTTAAGAAGATCGAGCGTCAAAATGTGTTGATGGAATTGCCCGCTACCTTTCCTGTGCCGAAGAGACCACTCTACACTCGCGGCCCTGAAAACTGTGTTATTCACTCACTGGGAATTACTTTGCACATCAGTCTGGGGATGGGATTTTCACCCTCTGCCGTTTATGGCCCGGGTGTCAACGCTTTTCGAATGTTTGCGGGGACATGCTAACTGACAGACAGGCTGGAGGATCAGGGACATTGTATTCAGTTGTCTCAGGCAACGACGTGTACAATGCGGCAAATCTACTACGATCGTATCCCCGCCTGGTGGGAAAAAGTAATTGAACAACTTCGCGCGGTGGCGAGAGATTGCTCCAAGCGTGGCGCTTGTCTTACACTTGAGTCCGAAGTCCTGGTATACGCGCTCCATGTTGTTGATGTCGACGGTGACGATGTTGCCGTCCGGGGTGACAAGGTCGTCCACAGGGTCGTTAGACCAGTTGCCAAAGAGACCTTGCGTCTGGTTCTAGAATGGGTGGCGACAGGTGTTAAAGATAAACCTTATGAACGAATAGCAAGCATCCAGTAACTGAAATGAAGTCTGAAGTTAAAAACGAAGTCAATGACAAAGACGTGCAATTTTTGCGCACAAGCAATGCGAGCAAGCGTTTGCATGGCCATAGTGTTTCCATAAACCATTAACTGCGTACCAAGTCCTAAAACGAAAATATATCCATTAGAAGAGCACAGTTTAAGACATCGATCTGGACACAACCTCGCCTTATCCTTATGCTTTGACAACTGCTCGAACCACGAAGCTGGGCGCCTTTGTCAGAAAATATCCCCATCCAAGCCAGCGTCATATCGTAATGTCATGAAGCTGGCTGGTTGCTGCAATCTAGTCTCTGTCAGCCCAGAGTCCTATTGTGATGTGTTCTGGAGCTGGTTCTATCCCAAGCCCCGTACTACCGGTGCTGCGTGCCAGCAGTGGCGTACCATAAAGGTGAGCGGCAGGTAGAGGCGGGCTGACATCTGGCCCTGGTTCTCCAGCACCTCCACGCCGGCGCCCGACTGGAAGAGCACGATCACCTGCGACTGGTTGTGGATGAAAGTCGGCACGTACACCAGCATGCCTGTCGAGAGGAGGCACATCTATGTCAACACAGTTCACTTCAGGAGAGTGTAGAGGGAGGGGGGAGGGGGGGACTTCTGTCTGCCATCGCTGCTTGCAGACCTAGAAGCTGTGTTGGCTGTGGATGATGGGCTAGCACTAGATGGTTCCAGAATATGTCAAAGAAGCTAGCAGCCACACCTAAATTAACAGATTCCCTTTACGGTCAATCCTCAAAAACTATTCTGAAACATAATGTCTAACACATCACAATCACATTCACGCTTCCTACATCAAGGCTCTGTTAGCCGGAACTTACCTCTGAAGATCTGCATTTTCTCCGGATACCTGTCGAAGTAGAGGTACTGCCTGTTGACCAGCACGTTCAGCTTGTAACGCCACTGAGCTTCGGTAGGCCGCAGTCGAATCTCAACCGTGGTGGAGAAGTTGTCTCGCGCTGGAATTGGTATTCATGTCATTGATAAACAGTTCCTTTGCTCACAGAAATGCCTCAGAATGGGGAGCACCAGAGCGAGGAGCCAGATGCTTCGGCAGTAGCACCAGATGTTACGAACGACAGCTGCTTCAAACGTCAGATATTGCGAACAACAGATGTTACGGTAGCGACATCTCGCATTCCAAGTGATGCCAGTATTTCGATACAGTATTCTATTCCTGAGCCTCACACCTCAAATGTGTGTTGAGCCCACTTCCCATCCAATCTTGTTCCGTTGCGTATGACTTAGAGGTCTGCAGCCTCGTCTTATTCACTATGACGGTAAGTGGATACTGTTCCGCAAGCCTTGGGTTTTGCTCTCCTTTGTAATGGAGGACTTTTAACCACTGATGGTCGGTCAACATACTGACGTCACTGAGAGTATGAAGACGGTCTCGGACAAACACCATCAACCTGGCCTTCCGTCGGAATGTAGCATATAACAGAAGTCCAAACGCACGTAAAACGACGATGACAAGGCATGACCACCTTGACAACAACCCCACACATACGCCTGGACGCAGGGCATGATCACATCGACAACAACTCCGCACATACGCCTGGACACAAGCGAGCATCCGGCAGAGTGCAGCACCTGGTCTGCGTCTGCACGTAACCAGCGGACGCGCCGCCACACGCCACACCGACACGCCAGCGGACACGCCGCACCGCCAGCTGGGGAGGAACCGGCGGCTGACCTGCGATGGCAGTCAGCTGGGTGGCCAGCACGGGGCCGCGGTCGTTGTCGGGCACCTGCTCGAAGCGAGCCTGCACGTCCAGCTTGTTGCGGTTGGTGTTGACGCGCGTCAGAACGTACTCGCCCTTGCCGTTGAACGTATACTGGGTGTCGTCGAACGTGTAGAAGTGAGGGTCGCCGAACACCGTGGCTGTGGACGAATACAAAGAAGCGCGCTGCAGGGAGACATAACCTCTGCCGCGATCGCCGATGACACGACAGCTTGACGCTCGAACTAGCAGGCCACCGATCGACACTGGTTCCTCTCTCACGGAGACTGAAGCTTTCCGGACATCATGGACGCCTTCCGAGAATTATGGAACCTTGAGTGACATTTCGACAGCAAGGCGAAGCATTCACCGGTGTGCACTGCACTGCTTCGTCAAAGTTGAGTTCAGAGTCGAGTTGCACGAACACCTTGCAACAATAACATGCACAAGGAGGATATAACGTAAAATGGAGGCGCAGAGTCCAGCGCAAGCATTCAGCACCTCGCAGTTCGATCAAGTGTCGAAGCAGAACATTCCGAAATGCATGTATAGAGTCGGAAAACACCACGCCATGGCTGCCCCGACGCACGCGGACGCCATTCAAACACAGCTTCCCGCCTGCGTTCACTATATCAATGCAATCCAAGACCACGTCAGACGGCTTTTTTCCGGACCCCGCCCCCGGCCCGGTGCGGCACGCTGAGGACCAGCGCTCGGCCCGGTGCTGCGCGCTGAGAACCAGCGCCCGGCCCGGTGCTGCACGCTGAGGACCAGTGCCGGCAGCCGAGCAGTGCTCTGACCTGCAGACGGCGGCTGATAGCCGACACAGTCCTGCGAGGCGCGCCGCTCGAACCGGAATGTGGTGCAGCCCTGGCTCTGCTCGCCCTGCCAGCGGCAGCACGAGTAGAACGGCGCCACATCGTGGTACCAGTGCGACAGCGACGGCATCTGTCGGTAGGGAGCTCACGGTTAAACTCCAGAGAGGGAGACATGGGGGAGCAGATAGAAAAAGTAAGTAACCGGAGATGAAGAGGAGAGGGGAAGGACGAAAAAGGGAGGAGGAGGCCTGCATTACGTTGTACGTTCAAAACTCAAGGAAAGGCAGGTTTAAGCGTTGCTGTGAGACAAAGCCACACGGTCGATGCATCACCAGAATGACAGACAAAATCCTAGACTCTGGCTATTTGTTTGTCAACGAAGAGAAGAAAGGCGAAGCAAATAAAAATATATTGATACGTTCCAGTTCTTTACCATATAGGCCGATCAGCGGCCGTACTTTACCAACGTTACTGACGACAGGCGACAACGTTACTGACGTGCGTCAGGCGACTGCGGCCGTACTTTACCAACGTTACTGACGTGCGTCAGGCGACAACGTTACTGACGTGCGTCAGGCGACAACGTTACTGACGTGCGTCAGGCGACAACGTTACTGACGTGCGTCAGGCGACAACGTTACTGACGTGGTGCGTCAGGCGACAACGTTACTGACGTGGTGCGTCAGGCGACAACGTTACTGACGTGGTGCGTCAGGCGACAACGTTACTGACGTGGTGCGTCAGGCGACAACGTTACTGACGTGGTGCGTCAGGCGACAACGTTACTGACGTGGGCTCAGGCCGGACACTTTACTTGACGTGGTGGCGTCAGGCGACAACGTTACTGACGTTGTGCGTCAGGCGACAACGTTACTGACGTGGTGCGTCAGGCGACAACGTTACTGACGTGGTGCGTCAGGCGACAACGTTACTGACGTGCGTCAGGCGACAACGTTACTGACGTGCGTCAGGCGACAACGTTACTGACGTGGTGCGTCAGGCGACAACGTTACTGACGTGCGTCAGGCGACAACGTTACTGACGTGGTGCGTCAGGCGACAACGTTACTGACGTGCGTCAGGCGACAACGTTACTGACGTGCGTCAGGCGACAACGTTACTGACGTGGTGCGTCAGGCGACAACGTTACTGACGTGCGTCAGGCGACAACGTTACTGACGTGCGTCAGGCGACTCGTCCGCGGACATCACCTTGTTGGCCTCGTAGAAGGGCCTCATGCCCAGGTTGTGGGCGCGGTGTGGGTTGCCACCCCACATGCTGTCCGACGTCATCATCAGGTAGCCGTCGATGTCGTAGCAGCACTGCTGGCCGGCACCGTCAGCGCTGAAACACGTGGCGCCATGGCTCACGTCTGGTGGCGCAGGCCTCTGGGCTGCTCACGTCTGGTGGCGCAAGCCTCTGGGCTGCTCACGTCTGGTGGGGCAAGCCTCTGGGTTGCCCACGTCTGGTGGCGCAGGCCTCTGGACTGCTCACGTCTGGTGGCGCAAGCGTCTGGGCTGCTCACGTCTGGTGGCGCAAGCCTCTAGGCTGCTCACGTCTGGTGGCGCAAGCGTCTGGGCTGTTCACGTCTGGCGGGGCAAGCGTCTGGGTTGTTTACGTCTGGTGGCGCAAGCCTCTGGGCTGTGAGACGTAGGCCGAAAATTAGTTGCGACACTCCTTCGGCACTGGGTCGCCACGTTCAGCATCCGCCAGTTGGTGTTAAGCATCTAGCGGTCATCATTCAGCGCGTGACGATCAATACGTTCAGCTCCTTCGTGTCGCAAGTCCTACTCACTTGACCATGCCGGCGCGGACGCAGTGAATGGCACCCTTGTGCTCGTCGCAGGCCGTGTTGCCGTCCCGGTCGCAGGAGAAGTCCGGCACAAATAGGCCCTTGTTGGCCACTGCCTGCTCCACACGGCACGGACAGCGGGTCACCTGCGTCAAGTGCGTTATATCAGCCGTTTCGGCGTGCTTCACAAGACGCGGACATCAGATGGCCTGGTAGCGCGTGTCCCGAATTAGAAGATCGCTTGCTGGCATGCGCATTTTGTGCTGGCGCAGCGTGCTTCTTTCATGCGCTTTCTGTATGGGAGTGCGTCATACCCGTACTCTCATCACACGACTAGCTCTGACTCTCGTCGCCGCCTACCTCGCCGGCAAAGTGTTTCAGGTTGCGGTCGTTCTCGATCCAGCGGTTGCAGACGCGGGCGGCCCACTCCGTGCCGTACACTCGGCTCCACTGCGGCCCGAAGTACCAGGCCAGCGGGATCGGCTGGCTCCACAGCGTGCTGTGGGGTAAGGCCGGCGTTGGTGAGCAGCCGCGCACAGGCTGCGTGCGGCCAGCTGACACTGCGCTCATTATTGGGCGGAGGAAACAGGCAAGGAGCGTACAGTTTCGTTTGAAGCCGTCTGGATGACCACTGAAAGAACTATGCACTTTTAGCGTATATATTCATTTGCATAGAGGCCATTCGACCACTAGGCCAATTCGTTTGCACGGAATCTATCGCTGTACGGAACGCCTTGTGGCCTTGAGTCCTTCAACACTTGGGAATATCTAGAACCAAGTCTGCTAGCTGATGTCTTAGCTGTCTTAGTCTTAGTCTAAGCTGTCTTAGCTGTCTTAGTCTAAGCTGATGACGATGCATTAAAAGAAAAACACCAAAATGGCTCTGAGCTTCAGACTCCCAGTCAAGTGACACCAGCCGCGCAGAGCTCACAGAAGCTCACTTGGCTCAATATTATCATTCTGATAAAGCGGGCTCAGGCGGAGTGCGCATCACTTTCCACGGCCACCACATTGTTAAACCTTCGCATCCCTCTTCCGTTTCGCGAGACAAAAGGCAAGCGAAACAAAACAAAACAAAGCCTGCACCATGGGCCCGATTATCAGTAACTGAGTGGCCGGGACAGTGCGCAGAGACTCACGGCGAGTTCTTGAGGCCCGACAGGTAGGTGCCCGGGCTGGTCAGGTTGATCTGGAGCAAGCCCACCTCGATGTCCAGGTAGTCCCAATTGTCGTTACCCATGTAGTCAGACGTCGAGAGCGTTAGCTCTCCATCGTTGCTGGTGTCCTGCCAGAGCGATTCAGTCGTCGAGAGGTCACATAAGCTAGGGGTCAGACGTTGTAAGCGGAAAATGTTAGATAAAGCTTATTTGTTTGCGGCTCAGAGATCCAGAACCTAATACCAAAGGGTCCATGAAATTCGAGAACCCCAAAGTATGGTTATTTGCTTTGTTATAAGTAGGTTGGTGCATTTGCGAGGAACATTATATATATATATATATATAAGAAAATGGTAATAACCCTATTCATCTGAAAATAACCAAGACAACCACCATTACCGATGTCCGTTTCAATAATGGCATGCAGCCGAAATATGTGTCCATCTATCTCTTTATTTTTCTGGTTATTCTGCGAGGAATAATAAAAGATGGTTTTGGATGGTTCTTATGGTTTTTACAATGTTCCACGCGAGAATATTAATCGTTGCAAATATAATCCCAAATAGCCGACGGACTTTAAGGAGTGCAATGTGCTAGGCCCTACCACAAGGGCCTAAAATGCGTCAACCATTTAGGGCCTAAGATGCGTCAACTTTCCTTGCCCATCAAATTACTTATTGTTCACAGATCTTCTCCTGAACGGGCTACACTTAACTCCAGGTGTCAAAAGCCTACACTGATATATGGTTGGAATCCTCTCCGGCTTGACAGTGTTCAACTCGACTCTGATTACCACACTCCCATCGCACTACAGTGAAGACGAGCTCTCTCCAGAGCGCTGGCAATATGACCATCGCACTGCCGAAGGACGGTTGTGCGGGAGACGGGCGCGCCGTCTGGGTGTAAGTAAACTCTCCTCCCGTCGGGCGTCTCAGAATACCCTGCCGACACGCGTCAGTCGACTCACCGCCACCGTATCAATGAACACCAGCTCCGGTGTGTTGGTTGACTCGCGGTAGCCGTACAGAGAGATGGTGACCTTGGCGCTCTGGTCCATGGTCAGGTTGTGCCAGAGCCACTGCAGACTGAGCGAGCCGGGCTCCGCCAGCTGATAGTCGTCGTTGGCGAACATGACGCCCTCGGCTGATGTCAATGGTGTTTCTGCGGGGAGAGAGCGAGGGATAACGTGACGCCCTCGGCTGATATCAATGGCGTTTCTGCTGGAGGAGGGCGAGGGATAACATGACGTCCTTGGTTGCAGTCAGCGATGTTTCTGTTGGAGGACGGCGAGGGAAAACGCGGTCTTCCTGCCGGGATTCAGTGATGACTGACGTGCTCAGTCGAGCTCAGGCATTTGACGGCACGGGCCGGTGCGAAGACTCATGCCCTCCACCATACGCATTCATCAGAATTTTCGAAACTCATTCCTTTTCCTTTCATAATAGTAGGTGAACTTATCGTATTCAAGCAAAAATGGATACTCATCGAGGACGATTTGAACAAAAGTTTGCTAACATTAACTGCTTGTAAAATAAATGCTGCACATACTGCAAGCTGAACCAAACTACCCACCAAACTAATCTGTTTACAGCGTCACATCCGTGCCCCAAAACTTTGACACCCATCGCCCATCCCATCCCGCCCTCAACACCCACTACCGACACTGACCGACGTAGTACTGTCCCTTCCAGTAGTAGGGTCCGCCGTCGAGTGAGACGGCGATGTCCACGTAGCCGGTGGCGAAGAGGCGCGGCTGCACACAGAAGGCCGTGTTGGTGTCGCGCACCACACCCTCCACCTCGCGGTCGTAGAAGCGGCACTTGACCAGCGTGTTGGGCCCGAAGCACGGGCCCGAGATGTTGACCAGGTTGCCACCCAGCATGTTGCCCTGCTCCGGGGCGAACACCAGTGGCAGGTTCGAGCCGTCTGTGGAAGGTCGGGATTTAACAGATAAAAGAAACGAAGTGGGAGCATTTCTGTGGTTGGCCAAAAATACCAGACTATGCTCTGTGAGCTTCCATGTGGGCGGGTTAAAATATCACGTTTAACATCATCGAGGTAGAATCATAGAGGTGGTGAGTAACGTTTATCAGCGTCTCATCCTGTAAGGTAAAATTCTTCTAATTTTACATTAAGATTTTGAATCGTCTAGTGACGGAACTTGCTAAAGTACTAATTGCCCTACGATCCTAAACAAACGATTTCTTTGTGAAGTACATTGCAGCGCTTAATGAAATGTTTATGTAATTTCATCGATAACTCCATCAAACAGGAGGTGTATAATTCCGTATATGCTGCCTGTTGTGTGCCGGGTGAAACACAATATACAATACTGCCATAAATATCAGTGTATAAACGGTGCACACTATTTGTACCCAAAACGCTCATATGTTGAGCCCCGCATGCCATATCCGTTCAGGGTTAACCAGAACCATGCACAAGGTCGATTTTTTCGGGAAGAAAACCAATCAGGCCGATACTGGCCACCGACATGCATCACGGTGCCTCGCAGTGCCGACTCACAGAGTTCGTGTCTGCAGTTTCCGGCCAAGATTTTCTCGTCCATTCTGAAGATGTGCCGGCCGGGGAAGCCGTTGGCCATGCCGGTGGAGGTGAGGTCCCGGATGTACATGGTCTGGGAGTACGGCGTGTACGGGTAGGCGCTGCTGCCGTTGCCGGCGTTGAAGCCAACCTGAAGACGGTTAATGCCAAGACATGAGCTCGTGGATGACACGGGTGTTCGCTCAGAAATCCGGACAGGCAGGCTGGTTGAGGACTGTTCTTAAGTGAAACTATCCTTGCTCCTTGAACAGTCTATTACAAATATTGTGTTACATTTTAATGCTCTTGGAACCACATGAGGCTTATACAACTGGAAAATAGTTCTGGCTCAATTATACCAGACATGTATCTGATAAGCACGCGGTGGACAGAGCAGAAGGGTATCTTACGTAAGCAGGAGTGCCGCCCTGTCCCTCGTTGATGTCGCCACCTGCCTCCGTGTGCGTGGTCCAGCCCATGTGCAGGTAGTTGAAGATAGCGTACGAGCGCACCTCGTCTGTGGCCACCATTAGCTGGAACGTGTTGGTCTGCGGACGAGAACGCCCGTTCAACAGACCTAAGACATCCACTGACACGCCCGAGCCAGTCGACGGAGGACCGACCTAGTTTTGCATTCGGTGGTTCTCCATCGGTGTCATCATCGGAACGTCGGTGTCAGTCAACAGGGGACGGAGACAGGCACTCATCAGCGCCCAACCATCGATGCTCCTGCGCCAGCTATCGGGGACAGAGGCAGGCACTCAGCAGCGCCCCACCACCGATCCCGATGTGTCAGTAATCGGGGACAGAGACGGGCACTCAGCAGCGCCCCACCACCGATACTCCTGTGCCAGTAATCGGGGACAGAGACAGGCACTCAGCAGCACCCCACCACCGATCCTGACGTGCCAGCTATCGGGGACAGAGTCAGGCACTCAGCAGCGCCCCACCACCGATCCTGATGTGCCGGTAATCGGGGGAGGGAGACAGGCACTCGGCAGCGCCCCACCATCGGCACTTCTATGCCAGCCATTGGCAAGGGAGACAGGCACTCAACAGCCACGACCACTGGCACGTCAGTGTCAACAAAAGCGGGAGATTGATGGCTGCTCTCTGATCGGTGCGTTCTGTCGTCACACTGAGGCGCAGATGGGGAGCGTTGGCTGTGATACGGCAGCTGTCATTTCTGTCAACACTTGTCAGCACGTCTGGAAACTTCCACGTTGAGGGCGTGGTCTTGGACCGATACAGATCGGTCCGTGCAACGGACGAGGCGTCGTTTCAAATGGCCGTGTCCCTCAGACTGTATTGCAAGCCAATGCCCTCAGCGCAAGATTTGTGCGAGTTCGGATATCTATATATTAAAAGTTGGTGAATAAACAGGTTGTAATCAATTACGCACACAACGTTATATCAACCAAGCGATGGCCACTGAAATCGTAATAGGTAACAGATATAGGTGATAGATGAGAAGGTGGTGAGGTGTAAATACGTGAACAGAACGGCTGTACATTTCCACACCACAGCAGCCGTTATATGCACTTAACATGTTCCGACCGGACTGCACTCACCACTCGTCTGGCGCGGGAGTTGGAGTTGCCGCCGTTGAATGAGACGTTCTTCCATGTGGTGATGATGATGTGCTTGGGCGTAAAGGCCTCTGCTCCCACGATGCCCTCTCGGATGTCCCACTTGGCGCGCTCGCGCAGCTCCACGCCGAACTGGTCGTAGCGCTCGTACAGGTCGCGCTCGATTCTGTCGCGCACACCGACTGACAATCGTGAGCCCGGCTGGATTACGGCCCGGCGGAGTGACCCCGCTCCCTCTACAGGTCGCGCTCGATCCTGTCGCGCACACCGACGGACAGTCGTGACCTCGGCTGGATTACGGCCCGGCGGAGTGTCCCCGCTCCCTCTTATAAACGTGATGAACACCACTCAAGTCAAGGGATTTCAGCCAGCAGGACCGGTGCGTTCGGAGCGTACCTGTAGTAGATGCCGGGCCGCCGAGTGTCGGTCTCTTCGCCCCCGATCTCGCCGATCACACACTTGCTGTAGAAGGGGCCGATGAATGAGGGGTCGTTCTTGACGGGCCAGTCCGGCTGCGGGAACGTCAGCGGGTAGGTGTTCGGCTGCGAGGTCGGCTGCGAAAACCCGAGGAAGCCGTGCAGCGACACCTGAAGGCAGGACACCGCAGCGGTCAGGTCTTCTCCCACGAGCCGCTCTGGAGCTCCTTCGAGTTCACCAAATATGATCACGGAGGTCGGGAAAGGCAAGAGGAAAAACCTAAGATGTACTTCAAGGCGATCATTTCAGAACTAGAACGAACCCAGGTGTAGTTGAAAAGAAAGCCGTAGTAGGGAAATCTGAAGTTGAGCTTCTTGTCAATCTGCGGCGTCAGGTCGTTGATGTCCTTCTGGTAGTCGTTGGGATCCTTGAAGGGGTACATCATCTCCGACCGGATCTCGTTGAGCCGGTCTTCGGTGATGACGTAGTGCTCATCGTCGTTCCAGATCTGGTAGGCGTTCAGGCCCCCGGAAGGCCCGCCTGGCGGCGAAGGAACGCAGCGTTACACAGAGATCAGCTAGCGTTTCTAACAAGGACGCTGGCACAGGGACCGGCTTTTGCGGCAGTGCGCCTGAGTCCTGGCCTTAGCATCCTGGTGGCAGTTTAAACGTTGCTCGCTGTCCACGCAACCTTACAGTTATATCAGCTTTCCAGCAACTTTTAACCCGCCATGGCAAACTTCTAACCGACGCAGCCAACGAGCAGTGGACCGGTGTCTATTCGGTCCCTGGTTGTGCCTCTATACTTAATGTAAGTGCTTTAGGATCATCCAAGCTGGTATTTGCCTTTGGGCACAGACCCACATGCCACCGAAATAACTTCATCAATGAACCAGTCAGTGAACGTAGCGTGCGTAAATCACTGTGCAAAGAATGCATGCAAGAACAGTTCAACATGTTTTCGGAGAAGAGAGAAGGCACGAAAGAAGTACTTATGACAGACAAGCACTGTCATGTTAATCAATGTCTTTCTCGCTGCTCCATCATGAGGCATACCCGCCTGGCGATGTGAGGAATAGCCACTCACCCGCCGCCGACATCCTGTTCCAGTTTCTGCCCCAGGTGTTACTTAGCCGTTTCACTACACATACAACCAGGCATACAGGCCCGCGAGGCGACGGCGGTGTCGGATTCGGAGCGAACAACTTACAGCGTAACATAGGTGCAAACTTTCGAATTAATAGGCATCCGTGGATTGCATTCGCAGTAAGGCTTCCATTATCGTGTGGCACAGGTCCGACCGCTGGCACCTTATCCCCTTTTTACCACTGTTATTTCAGCCATCGCGCGAACCTTGTTCCGAAAGCCCGAGTGAACTGGATGACTCATGGTGAGATACGCTATCGGTGGCATCGTCCTCTCTCACGGGTATCTTACGCCGACAGTGTAGGTGACTCGTCTCGAACAGAACAAAGACCTGCACACCGACGGTGTATCATTCCTTCAGGGGCTCAGCCCCGCTTTGGATCCTCGCTTTGACGGTGTTCGTTCACCGCCCAATGAAGCCGATGCCAGTGTCAGTGGCGGGTGTGACGTGGTGCGCTCCACATCAGTCAGCAAGATACTGTGCCAGCTACCATGACGTCGTCTAATCCGAGTGACTGGACCTCGAGGCGGTCGAGCCCTTTCTGCCATGCTTTTACGTCTGGTCTATGTAACCATGCATTGCTGTCGGTGGCAAGCCGCAAAACCCGTGGGACGTTAGGTGGCCAGTGAAATGACAGCGACTACTTTTTTCAAACAAGACAATGTGAAAGCGCCATTGTAACGCAAACAAGACAATGCGATTACCAAAAAATGCGACACAAACATGGCAAACATCAGGTCTTCCAACAGGGAACAAATGGCACGATACGGAAAGAAGCCAGGCCGAAACCCTGCCAGCCTTGGGCTGCAGCGGTACGGGAATAACCAGCCCTCACAGAGAAGACACTATGCAAACGCACTATCAGGGGTCTAAAAATTTATCGCTTGCAGCTTACCAAAATACAGTGTTTGTGTTGCTTCAATCACGAGGTTTCCAAAACGTGTTTTTGACGAAAAGCGAATGAGTGCGCCCAATTTGACGCAACATGAGATACCGATGACATATAACGCAGTAAGTTTTAGAATGGCACTCATCGTAACAAATTCTCTCTCTCTCCTCATGAAAGGAGGCTGTATTCCAATAACGACTAGCACTGCCGTTATTTGCTGTCAGGTATCGTCATTGCCTGACATCCAGAGTTGCTGAGTTGCAGTTTGCAAGCTCCGCATACTGGCACAATGCGCATAGTTAAGTACAAAAAGCCAGACGCAATTAAGCATGGACCGTTGATCTGTCCGTTTGGGACGTTGGGTATAAGCGTCAAATATCGGCAGCCATAGTAAGCAAGGATTTGAAACCAGTCGCATTGTGTAAGCAAGCATATCCTTTACAAATTACCTACACAGATTATCACTGCCCAAGTGCCCATTAATAGCTTCGGCACGGGTTGACTAAAAGGTGAGTGAGGCCGACATTAAGCCTTTACCCTGATTTAACTTAATATACACGGACTGATAGCGGGCTCCATGCCTCCTACCCCTTTCAAACTAATAAGCTTCGAAACTGTGGATTGGTCTCATTAAGAGCTCGCAATTGGCAATAAGTTTTATAACGCTAGCTCAAATGTGGCTGAGCTGTATGCTAAGCACGATTACCATGTTTTAAAAACATGTCTGGCCCTTTTCCTTCCAGATTTTTCCTGGTGCTCTTAAAAGTACTTCGATTTTCAAGGACAAGTAAATTGTTGGCAAGCGAGAACCTACGTGGATTACCAAAACATGCCTGAGAAGATGGAATGAGTCTGCCATGTCCTATCGAGATATGAGATCGATGGAAGTTGAAATCACTTACAAGTGTCAAACGTCATGGGCACAAAACCTTGCCTGCTATATTTATACGGCAAGCATCAATGTTTGTAATTAGTTACTTAGATATTCAGCCTAAGCTGAACAGCCGCTGAGGATACACATAAAGTAAATGGCTTCGTGAAAACCGCTAATCTGCCATGAAATCGCGAATTTGTACGACATTTAACATGCTAACACTTCGTGCTATCGTGATAGGGCTCGAGTCTATCTTTGGGCTTAAAATTTCCTCTAAGCTTTTGAATGTCCGATGCACTCTAAAAACTTTGTGCACTTGTACTACATTCCGTGCATTTGTTTGCAACAAAGCAGGCTTGGGAATCCTGCGTAACCGTTTAAATTCTTATATAAGTACTTCATTTTCCTGCTAACTGTTTATCAAACTTCACGGTACTTTGAATTCCTTACAGCGCTGCTTCCCATCCTCGTAATGTTTGTTGAATTTATTTCGCGTGGATGCGTTAGAAAATTACACGCTTTGTCAAAACCATCTATCAAATTTTGACGAAAAATGGTTTTGACAAGATTTTTGTTTTCTATGATCTTACTGGGGAAAAATGTCGAATGCAAAGCATGAAATAACAAGATGTCGAGCGAAAATGATCACAAATGAATTAACAAAAGAGATAGTACTGACAACCAAGAGCATCCAGATATGGATGATGATCATGATGAAGATGATGAATGATAAAAAGTGGACAGATGTCAAGGCTCGAATGAAAAATGACCGAATGGTAAAGTCGTCAGGATAAATGCAGCAGTGTAAAATAGTGGGAAAATGCAAGAAGGAAAACGGAAAGAAAATAACGAAATAGAGACTATTAGCGTAAAACAATAAGGCAGGATAGAGTAATAAAATAAAGCACCAAAATAAAAGACTGAAAAATACCTTTTGCCCACAATTCCCTGTGAGGCATGCATCTAATTTCATTCCATCTTCCGTTTTTTGCAGAAACCGAAATCACGTCACATTGATATAACAAATTAGTCCGATGCAATACAATGTATTCCATTTTCTTTTCTATCTTTCGTGCGTGACATGCATACTTCATCTTGCTGATCAGACACAGTTTGTGTAACGAGCTCGTAGAAGATCAAGTTAGGCCCTTAGGTACCGCTTATCGCATCCAAATTGTGTTACACAATCGGACGGCTAAACGGTTTAAAGCGGCTGGCAGTTTTCTAAGCCTATTTAACGACCAGGCACGCTGACTGGGGTTGCGGCTTGGTGATAAATCTCTTAGGGTGTCGCGGCATGACTAGATATCAGTTCATTATATACGTCTACAGGCTCAGATCAAATCAAGGTATATTTAATTACTACACATTTTAGACATCTTATACTGAAGGTGCTATAAAGGTCACTCACGGAAATCGATGCGTACAACATGTATTTTGTTTGACATTGAAGCTGAGAGAATATTTGACTTCTTGACCTGGCTCAACTTAAGAGACAAATACACCACGATGCATGTTTCATATCGTAAATATTGTTGGCATTGCCTTCGCTTAAGAAGGGTAAGGTGATAGTTTTTGTGGTAAGCCAATGTTTTTCATGTAAATATCTTTGTCACCATCGGGCTATCAATGTATGCTTCCTGGAGGCATTTATGGGTGGATGTAGGTGATCACAATTTTCAGATAAGCCGGAACCATGAGACATCAATCAACGGATTTTTTTTTACCCCATCGATCATCCAGCTGGCTGTGATGTTTCTCTTAACAGCCATCATGTGGTATTTCGTTCAGCCGAAATTTTCGGTCTCTGGGCGCAGCGAGCTGTTCGCCATATTGTTGCACTGATACGGGATCATGACACCGTGGGACGGGCGGCGCTGGGCTTGACGCGCGAATCTGAGCTGTCCCCTGATAGCTGACTGATAACGTGCCTGCCCCGATAGCGCCCGACAACGGACGCCATTGCACCACCGCGCCCGGCCTTTCGCTGAGCCATAGCTGGCTGATTCGCCCCGTGTTCTGCAGACTGAAAGTGAGCTGACTGAGCTTGGAGAAGCCGTTCCAGAAGAAGCTGAAATGCCCGGCATTTGCCTGCCTTGAACATTTGGTACAGTTTTATTCGATTTTGCCCGTCCCGAACTCACATCCCAGTTGACAGAGCGGCGGACATCGGGCCGCTGTGCGACAATGGCATGGATTAGAGGGCACAGAACATCTTTATCACCCAGAGCCTTGTGCAATTCGTCTATGACGGTCTATGAAAACCGCCCGTGCTAACCGACGTCATGGCATTGTGTGGAATGTGGAAGTGTATATTTACGGCGCGCCAAAAATGGTCATTCTAAGTGCCGTCACGTATTCTTTGTGCGACGTGTTTACAGCGTGACACGTTTTCTGTTAGCATTTTCATAACTTTCGTGACAATAATCGCACATTCCAGGCACAACATTTTCATTCGCATGCACTGTACGTACCCCTTAATACTGGAAACTACAAATCATTATGTTTGCTAACACAGCGCTCACTTATTCGTCGTCCATTCTATTTCCACCCATCAATCATTTCACCACATTGTGCGCGATGTCACGGTCGTCCGGGTCGCCGCGAACATTGAGGGCGCGGAATCTTTGGGGTATGACGTCATACATTGAGTTGAGGGCACAGATGCTTTGTCGTCCAGGTAGCTATGCGCGTAAAAGCTGTTGGCAAAGATTACCCCTTCAGCTGGAATTGCTAGGATGGAGTGATGGCAAGGGCCCTCGCAACGAGACGTTTTCTCGACAAGAGTATTATCCGGACGTCTATACGAGGCAGTTAAGACCATTTCAATAATCTCCTGAGCATAAAACGTCTCCGTGTGGTCGATCCAAGCTGCTGGTATTAGCGACTTCTTAGTTGAGCTCGCGTCGTTTTTCCATCTCATTTGCCAACTCAAGGATCTGTCCTGCTTTACAATCTCTGGAGGGTAATGGTTACTGCAAAAGCAATATATTGCAATGCACCAATATAACTAATCGGTGTCTTCTTTAAACACAAACGTCAGTGGTCCTGTTCCGTAGTACCGTGTGCCCTGCATGAGCTCGATCCGTTACGACAGTACAGCAGTACAGCTCGCTGTTCCCACAAAATAAACCGTTTATCAGCGGGATAACCGCAATGCGAGTACTGCCAGAGTTATGATGGTTATTAGGACAATAAAATGAGAAGACCGGACATTATAGGCAGATCGGGTAAAATAGGATACCAGCGTCAGTGGCCTTCAGTGCCCGTGTTTTCGTCATTTTCAACAGAAAGATGTCACCCCGAAATGAAACGACCTTTAATGTATTGGCCAATTTTACTTTCATGTCTTCCTTTCTCAGATATTACAATATCCGTGTTTAATTTTCATTTCAGTCTAGAGCAGTCTTCTCTACGTGAAATTATGTCAACAGTTCAAGATGAGCTTGTTTCACAACATCTGATGCTTGCTTCAATATCCTTAAATGTGAAACATTCCTTTCAACGACAACGTTAACCAATATTTCCTGGGCCCTGCAATACAACATGGGTGTAACCGCATCTCTGATGTTGAGATGAGGGTCAAATCAGGATTAGAGGTATCAAACTGGAATCTGAGGGCCATCCTGACCTGAAGATGTCCTTTTGAATGCAAAAATGTGACAAACATGCATTTGCCATGCCAATTTGGAGTGGACAAAATGTTGTTTTCTGACAATTGGGGCATCATGTCCCCCTCCACCCAGCCACTAGTGGTTACACTCATGGAGTAAATGTCATTTATTCCGAGGAAAGGAACTTGCATCCAGAAATGAAAAATGGGAGCCATATAGTCTTCCCAAAAAGTTTGATTATACATTGGTCGGACATTCTAACGTCACCACAGATGTATATGGCTTAAAATCGGCATGTGCTGTGGGTCTTCAGCGGCTGGTGCAGCCCAACGCGCACGTGGCTCATTGGAGACAGCATCGCACTAACGCAAAGCGCTCTTTTTTGCTCACTTCTGATCTTGCTTCCGTCAGCTCCCTGCCCAGCGTCGTCATCCGACCCCGGGGCTGGCGGGCCTCGGCGCCATCCCTGGGGCTGGCGGGCCCCGGTACCATCCCTGGGGCTGGCGGGCCCCGGTACCATCCCTGGGGCTGGCGGGCCTCGGCGCCGTCCCTGGGGCTGGCGGGCCTCGGCGCCGTCCCTGGGGCCGGCGGACCTCGGCGCCATCCCTGGGGCTGGCGGGCCCCGGTACCATCCCTGGGGCGGGATGTTCCCGGCACTATTACTAGAGCGGGCGGTAGGCGATAATTACGACAAGCCTGTACCACCGCCAGCCTGTACCGTCGCTAGCCTGTACCGCCGCTAGCCTGTACCGCCGCCAGCCTGTACCATCGCTAGCCTGTACCACCGCCAGCCTGTACCATCGCTAGCCTGTACCACCGCCAGCCTGTACCACCGCCAGCCTGTACCGTCGCTAGCCTGTACTGCCGCTAGCCTGTACCGCCGCCAGCCTGTACCATCGCTAGCCTGTACCGCCGCTAGCCTGCACCGCCGCTAGAATGCACCGCCGCTAGCCTGTACCGCCGCTAGCCTATACCGCCGCTAGCCTGCACCGCCGCTAGCCTGTACCGCCGCTAGCCTGTACCGCCGCTAGCCTGTACCGCCGCTAGCCTGCACCGCCGCTAGCCTGCACCGCCGCTAGCCTGTATCATCGCCAGCCTGTACCGCCGCTAGCCTGTATCATCGCCAGCCTGTACCGCCGCCCGCCAGCCTGTGCCATCGTCCGATTTTCCTACCGCCGGCGCGGCCTGCCACCGACAAGGACTACCAAACGCCTGGACCGCAAACCCACGATTGCAGTCGTCCTGGATCGCCACCCCGGTACTGATATGCCAGTCTGGAGCCCAACAACCGTTACCGCCACCAGCTTGCACCGCCGATTACATGGACCGCCGCCAGTGTGGACCGACATCTCCAGTGTGGACTGACACCAGCCCGGATTACCGCCAGTCTGAGCTGCTGCCGGCCTGGCTACGCACCAGCTGGGACCGTCGTCAGTACATATGTACTACACCAGGCTTCGCCATCAGGGAGCCAAATCAAGTCACGGGGCCCTTTAAGTCAAGGGGCTTCTCTTTGTCGCTGTTGGCCCAATTTTTGTGGTGGGGGCGTGTTAGGTTCAGCATCTCTTTTGGATGCGCCGGGGGTCCGCCGTATATTTTAGAGGCCTCTCGAGCGTCTTGAACTGCCGAAAAGCACTGGGGCCTTTACCCCAAAAGGCCAAATCCCCTCCAGGGTTGGAAGCGTGGCTCCGAAAGCCCCATCCCTCGCCCCTGGCTACACCACTGTGAACGTCGGCACCATCCCTCCGGTGTACATGCGTTCACTTACTGTAGTAGCCATTGTTGATGGTCCTGCCGCCGCCCGAGACCGCCTGCCGCTTTGTCCTGTTGCCGGTCGCCTGGATCCCAGCGATCAGGCACAGCACGATCACCAACAGCGCCGAGCTGCAGCCGCCGTGAGCCGCCATGCTGGATACCACTCCTCCGCGCGACGTGCGCGCCACTGCCGGTGGCCCCGGTCAACGTAATCAGCGGGCACTGTGCAAACGCAGCTATCACAGAGCAGACCTGATAGCAGATAGTGCCGGGCGCCTTCGCCAACGGCTATCCCCCCGCCCCTCTCTCCCCAGAGCCAGTTCACTTCCGAACTGAGCCTCCCACGCTCTAGCTCGGGCACAGGGCGACGCACATGTACAGCCATCTCGGGCGCCTTCGCCCTCACCGATGGTCCAGAGACATTGGGAGGCGGAGATGGGGGTGGGGGAGGGGGGGGGGGATAAATAGTGACAGCAGCATTACGTTGTCCCTCGCGATCTAGGGGCTTGGCCAGTCTGGAACAGACCATCCGCTACAACATCGGAAAAACCAGAGAGTGCGTCGCTACCATCTGTCCGAACCGGTCTTCTAGCTGCGGCGTCTAGACGCAGCGTGGTGGGCATAGGTCCAGCGCCCTCTGCGCTGGTGAGCTTGATGAAGCGAGCCGCCAACATGTACCCTTTTGGATCGCATCATGGAAGCAAATTATGCAGTGACGGGTAGCTCATTTATTGTTTTGATGCCCGCATAGCTGATGGATGCGAGGAGTCGGTTCAGTTGTGCGGCTTCCGGCACGCCACGCCCATATGCCTTCAAGGAGCGACGAAACAGCGTCGCAAACTGGCATTTCATCCTATTGGGACTGCGGAAGGAGGCAGCCGGTGGCGGCTCAACTCCAAGACGGCCGGAAGGAGGCGGCACTGACATCCGCATACATCGGCTCTTCCTTGGAGTGAGGACGTCACGTGGAGTGGCGGGAGAAGCCGCTGGTCGCCGCCGTCCTCGAGGCGTCGGAAGGGAGACCGCGTGGAGTCGCGGGAGAAGCCGCTGGTCGCCGCCGTCCTCGAGGCGTCGGAAGGGAGACCGTGCGGCGGAGCCCTGCGCCACGCCGGCTGGACCCTGATCGGCAACCACCCAACAGAAGAGCCTCTAAGCGAACCAACACAACCGCACTGCAAAACAGTCGGCAAGCACCACGACTTCTACGATGTAGTCTACTTTGTGCCTGCAGGCATTCCCACTGTCATATATCGTGTACAGTGTCATGCATGATACGCACCGTGCAATATGTAACGCGTAATGTGCAATAGCGTAACGTGCAATATGTCACGCGTGGCGCGTCAGCGGGACGCTCACTAACGAAAACGAAGCACTTACGAAGATGACATGCTTGAGGTGATACATTCCCTTGTTTACTCCTTTTTTGTGCTAATTATTAGATAAGTCGGGTGTGGGTATCCGCAGCCGGAGTTGATTTATGCAATGATTGTGGCATAGCGCGCCTCTGCTGTTTCATTGGGGCTCACATGCGCACTTAGAATTGCACAACGTCGAAGGTTCGAGGACGCGGCCCGACGACCAGGGTCGCGACGCTGTGCTACGTGAGCGGACCACGGCCGAATATAGTTACCTTTTCACGCCCGTTCTCTGATGGACGATTGTGAAAAGAAGAACGCAAGTCACAAGGGTAAAGCGCTACAAATACAAACGCAGCATTCAGAAACGATGATCACAGTCGTAGGTACTATAAGTGTCCAACGAACAGTTTTGGATTGTGTTCGAACGTGAACACTTCTCATCTGGTAATCAGAGTTTGTCGCAGTGGGGTGTCTTCACTTCAGGCGAGGTGTGCCAGTTCTTACTCATCCTGGCGTTAGTGCCAATGGGTTTTGCTCGCTTGCCACAGTTCAGCTGTTTTCATTTTTGACATAGCATTCTCAGCCATTTACAAACTCACTTGTCACCTGAGACTGCTGTTGGTGCGAACTAGCCTCAGCGATTGGTGCCCCTAAACCCCACTCAGCATCATCATTGTGCACACGTTCAAGCGTTGTATGCACCAGACGCGTCTGCTCTGGCGTTGATTCGCCTCGATCTGTGTTCCACTTACCACCTCGTCACTGGGGACATTACGGAAATATACTCCCTCCGATTCGGCCTGAGCGCGACCTGTTGCTCTCTCGCCATATCCTAGAGCGCTGACGCCCGGGACGGATTGGCAGCCCGCAGCGACGCGACGTCAGCCGCCTGGGGACGGCTGCATGCATCACCGACGCGACGTCACCTGCCTGGGGACGGCTGCATGCATCACCGACGCGACGTCAGCCGCCTGGGGACGGCTGCATGCATCACCGAGGCGACGTCACCTGCCTGGGGACGGTTGCATGAATCACCGAGGCGACGTCATCCGCCTGGGGACGGTTGCATGAATCATTGAGGCGACGTCACCCGCCTGCGAACGGTTGCATGCACCACCGAGGCGACGTCACCCGCCTGGGAACGGTTGCATGCACCACCGAGGCGACGTGGCCCGCCTGAGAACGGTTGCATGTACCACGGAAGCACGTTCTTCATGAGCAAATGTAAGCTCATTTCGACGTGAACGGAACATGCCAAAGTCATATCGTGTTTTGTTTCACCGCGCTTCTCCGGCTGTGAGGGACCGGATAGTACAGCCGCTTTGCAGATAGATGATGTGTTCATTTTACTTACACTAAAAGTATGAGCTTATCAGGAAATCGAGCCGGGACCTTTGGAAATTATGTCCAAATGCCCTCGGTAGTTCAGCTACTTACTACTCGTGTGGGTGCTGTTTGCTTGATATGCGATTTTGTTCATGGAATTTGCATTGATAGCTGGGAAGGTGATATATCGTGTGTAGCTTTATCGGCATACTGATGAACAATATTACCTACCTGCAAAGCGGCACACAATACGATCCAAGTTACTGTCGTAGTATGAGATAAAACGGCAGAAGATATTTTAAATTCCCGGCTATAAATGCAAACCTCCAAGAGTAACATGGTATATGCCGCCAAAGTTATCTCGCCAAACCATTGCTTGCTGCGTCGAGGACGAAACTGAGTCAGAAAATTATTGTTGATATTCACAAGGCTGTTCAATTGACAGGTAAACCGATGAAGGCAAACCGATTCAGGTAAACCGATGAATATTGATAAACCTCCAGAACGAAAATACGAATGAAGCTTAAGCAGCGTTCCTGCCAAAAAGAAACATACGTTTGCAAGGCTAGAATTCATCTCAAGTGTTACCAGCTGGCGAGGCAGCAGCTCCAGTGACCTTGGGCAGCCGTGCGCTGTTTGGAAATGAGAAATGGCCCACTCAGGTCGGCGCGCTACAGCCCGCCGCCTCTAGAGACCGTTCTCTCTCTCGCCAAGTCATGTTTACGGTGCAAGGCGTCTGTTCGACCCAACTGGAAGAGGGCAAGGGGCATGATGGCGGGAGGCGCCGCGGTAAACATTGAGGGACATTGTGGACATGTGCCATCAAACTACGCACTTGCAGCCGTACAATCTGCATGTGTGTATACCCTGTTCAGTGGACCGGATCCAGAAGCGCACAGCTGAGGCAGCAGGGAAGCAGATCATGTCGTAGGCATACAGACACGCCGGCACGGTAGCTGAGAAGTCGACAGAGCTTCTGTCAGCCACCTGCCAGCACTCCAGCGACTCCGCTAGGTGGCGGTGACGTGCATGTGTGACCCGACGGTCCAGGATCGCGCTGGATGATGCCCGGGCGGCGGGCGCCCCCTCTGCCGGTTCGCGGCCGCTCGGGGACGCCGCTGGGTGGCGGTGACGTGCATGTGTGACCCGACGGTCCAGGGTCGTGCTGGATGATACCCGGGCGGCGGGCGGCCCCTCTGCCGGTTCGCGGCCGCTCGGAGGCCCCGCTAGGTGGCGGTGATATACAAGACAAGTGCAACGCACCTGCACTAAGTTTGTCCGTTGTTCCCGGTCTCAGTTCCCCATCAATTTTTTCATCATGAAACTAGTCTGTCCCCCATACGGTGATTGCCAGCTGCCTGTCCCGGATCACACGCTCTATGTTTTGGTTTAAGCACCGAGCAGTACAGCTCCAGATCAATATTGATCGCCGTAGCTGCTCGGCTGGACCAGCGCCGGCCGGTCGGCCAGCGGGGACTCTGCTCCAGCCCGCTGCTTATTTGTGCCTGCCGGCGGGCCACTCTGTCTCCGTGTGTCGCGCGAGAGTCCGCGCCGTCCGGCGGTGCGCTGGACCAGACACGGGCAGGACCACTGAGCCGCCATCCGCAGTCGGCGTCGCAACAGCCAGCGACGCGGCGCAGCAGCCAGCAGACATGACCGACCGCAAGAGTCTCGGTGATGCCCTCGGCGCCTTACAGATATCGCACACGACTGCTGCGACAGGTGAGTACGCGAACTCATGCTTTTGGGGCGACTTTCGCAAAAAGCATGACTTTGGAATCCCGGCACCGCCACTCTGGCCTCGCGGAATAGGCAGCCAAAAGTTAAACGTTGTCCCATCGCGTGCACCTCACGCCATCGCAACCGTCCTTTTTACCGTTCGCATGCTTTGAGCTACCGAGGTCGCATTGCGCTCTGTGCGTTAACTTTTCTCTCGGGCATTTACCATGGACGAATCGAGCAATTAAACATACGTTAAGTAAGAAGAATGTGACTGCTGCTTTTCCACATGCCTGAATCACCTACTTGGTATTCAACAAGCACAGCAGATAATTTTTCTTCAGCGAGCTGCCACATGTTTCAGGCAAGGTAACACATAGCGCAATTTTACCAAGACGTCCTGCGTGACACAACGTCGACACGCTGACGCTATGTGTGATGCACCGACTCAATATTACGAGTGATATATTCACGTTAGCATTCCCAGTGATGAAATCAAGGGTACCTTCATCAGTCGGCAACATACTTTTGTCAAGTGATACCATCGCTACAGCTGTGAATAAATGCACTTACCTTAGTGCTGTTTTCTAAGCACGAAATAGCCAATCGGGTCTGGGGCCCACTCGGCATCCATTTGACTGTGCCACCCTACCACAAAGTCCATCAACGATCATCATGCCTTTCTCCGTGCTTGTTACGCATGGGATCTCCGCGTTTATGATCTTCATGCTTGTGATATCCATGAATGTGATCCCCGTGCTTGTGATCTCCGTGCTTGTGATCCCCGTGCTTGTGATCTCCGTGCGGTGAGGTGATGGGAGCGCCATCTGAGCCCGAAGTTCGGCGCCACCTGCAGGGCAGAGAGGAATTATAAGCCTTTACCAGCAAGACAAGGCAACACGGCAGCATCATATCCATCATCCAATTCGGGAGGCATGCGCAGTATGTAGTTAAGTATCCTACAGCGCAGCCAAACACAGAGCAGGGCAAAACGTAAAGCTTGAGATTGCGAACTCCTGTGTCAACTACCCGACCTGCGTGACGTCATCCACGTGGAACTTACACAGTGCGTGTGATAGGGCGTGACTTCTTTCCTTGGTATAGGCATCAGTTTGCATTGACTACCTGGGCTCACCTCAGCGTGACTTTAAATCCGCAGCGACCATCGGAGCGCGTCGGAGCAGCTCGTGGCAGAGCTCGATTGCTGGAAAACGCTCGTGACGATGCCCGGCATGGTGGCGTTTCGCGATGGTTTGAAATGTGCTTCGCTTGAATTTTATGGGAGCGATTCAAACCCGATATCTCGGGATCCACTCAGTCGTTTTGGACGTCCGGCGCTCAAAATGGTAGCCTAAAAGTAAACCCTCTTTCTACGTGAAAGGTTCAAAGATCCCGTTTATTGAAAGGGATGATGATAAAATTAGTTTTTCATGTTGATATTTCGTACATCTAAACGACACATTACCTAAATGAATGGGATTGGGCAAGAGTATGGTGTGATGCGTACGAGCCGTGTCCGTACCAATGGCGGATGGAAGAACGAACAGCTTGGCGATAAATGTTACCCCCGATTATTCGCAATCTTCTCCGCTTGTATTTTCTATAGATGGTTACAAATACTAAAGGCGGGGATTTATCATAGTTTTAGCGGAAACAAACGTCTTTGGTGCATCATGGTCACCAAGCAAGAAGGCGCCTACAGGCCTGAGTCATTAGGTCTTACTACAGCAATGATAGCAACGCTACAATAATCGAAACATCGGTTTACAACGGGCTTATAGCGCCGGTTGGATTATAAGGATACTGAGGTCAGGTTGTTTTGCCTGTGGTGGATATGGAAATGCTAAATAATCGGTTGATTTAAGTCAGCCGTTGTAGGTAAATCACTCTCCAGGGTAGAATGCATTGCGGGGGTATTTTATGTTTCTGACTTCGCCTGTTTCGTTGTACTGGAAACATGCAAAAACTTATCACCATATAAGACAGCGGAGCAGCCGTTAAAATTCCGCATGCAAGCATTCACCTTCCATCCCTATTGCTTAACACTGTTCTTATTCACACAGCTGAACACCTATGAGATATTACTCAAATTCATGGCCTCATTAAGCGCCCAGTTCAGAGAAACACCGCAACCACATTTAGCAGCGACTGATCCCAGCTTCCATGTTCGCTGTAACTCGTCCCAGTTAAGTTGCCTGGCGTCGTCTTTCCACGAACAAGGTGGCGGGCGGTGTCTGCGATGTGTGTCGCCTGTGCGCAATCTTCTAATGGACGCTTTCGATGACCGTTGACTAGTTAGGTTGTATTGTCTCCGTCATGCATTTGTCTTGGGGCATGCGGGCAGCTGATTACCCAAAACTGTAATCATATTACTCTTGGATCCGCTCCTGACACGTGATGGCATGTGGCAACTAAGGCACATCACACATCCCTGAAGACGGGGGCGTATGCATACTGTATCCCCGGAGGCACGTGCCCCCATCCCTAACAAAATGTAGGGCATGTATTAATCTGCTCATGATATAATGTTGACATTTAAAAATCTCAGGTAGACACGGGACGATGAGAAGATAAAAAACATGCGATGCTTTTTACCACATACATTAGGTCGTGCGTGCCAGCGGCGCGCTAAACTCGTTTTTTGTAACTTCTTTTAGTTGCGTCCCCCAGCATTGTTAAACTTACGTACGCCCCTGCCTAAAGTTGATCAGCCATGATGCAATAGCACATATCATAGCTAACTACAGGTACACGTCGGTTGCATGTAATGGGTCAAAGACCCAGCTTGACACATCCGCCTTAAACACCCCATGATTCGTCCTGGCGCGCTTCCCCAAATCCACTCTGCAGTGGTCTTTGCTTGATGTGATGGACTGAACTTTTGTGGAAAAGTCGCGAATTTTCAGTAAGCTAAGCCGGTTTGAATGGCGCCGTTATAATTTTGGACGTATTAAAAAAACACGAAAGACTTAATATGATACCTGACATGAAAACAGGGTTAGCTGATGTGGTAGAGATCTTATACGTAGAATGTGAGAATAGGTATTACGCAAATTTTGGCACAATTCCGCAAAAGTGGACTCGTTTGGTTTCCCAAAATATTGCATGCTACGAAGTGGAGCATACTCTTTAATTCTTGGCTGCGAAACGAAATGGTATGCAGAATCGACATCTTCATCTTGTATGCATTTGAAGCAAATGCCAAGGAGTGATTTCAGTTAAAAGCAGTTCGTCTGCGGGTCCTCATCTCCTTTTAAAGCTGCTTCCAGTTAATTAACTAAGAATATGAATGGCACAAAAGTGGAGTTGTCATTGGCTTATGACTCACGTCCGAGAAAATATTAATGCAATCTGAGCTAGCCTACCCTCCGTCATGCCCCACAATAACCCACCACACCTCATTGGGTAATACTGTAGCAGTGACAAAGAGTCGCAAGGAATGTCACGACATTTTGCCGATGTTGCCACTTAACACCAGCGTGTGCCGGCACGCAGACAGCAGTCACTCCCACAGCCCTAATCATCGGTCTGCTTCTCGGGTCTCATTTCGCATCAGTTGACAGGTCCACCTGCTCTAGCAGCACATGTGTTGGTGAGCGGTAGCAGCTGATCGTCCGGGGTGTGCGAAGTCCCGAGAAAAACGAGTTGGATTGACGTGGTCCTTTCCCGCCGAGACGTGGACAGGAATGATTTGCTACTCTCACGGCGCATCTATGTGGGGCGGTGCGATCGAAAAGTGGCAGAAAAGAGCTGTCGGTAAGCACAACGGCTGGGCTTCTGTGAATACAGCCAGTGCTACCCAGAGAAGGTGTCCTATCTGTAGCGGTGCAGAGGATAGCAGCTTTGACTAGTTTTACCGCTGTCCGGACTTACGAAACCAGTCAGTGCTCGCCGGGAGCTGCACTTACGGCTTCTCCAGCCTGGTAACACAAGTCTGTAACAATGTGCGGAAATCTCAGACACAACCCTTTGCTTCGTTCCAACTAGAATCGAGGATGGTTTGCGAAATCAAGAGTATATTTTTGGCTGGGCGACTCAGCACAAATTAGACTCGCGGCTGGGTTCCGCGAAAAAAAACATTACGATCCCCGTACACTCATTCATATGCTCAAACTCACGGCATCCGCTCAATGGGCTACGGCTCCAGCCTTATCACAGTGCACAGACGATCGGAGACGTTAGCCCGCGCCAGGAGATCCTATACCCTCAGCTACGGTTCCTGTAACCGAAGACGATGAGCTGTGCTCAGGGTGTATGTCGCGTCTGCCGCGCTCGCCAGGCAGAGGGTCTCAGCGCTGGAGCTGCAAGATTTCAGTGTGACGGCGCCGGCAGTCGGTGCTGAGTCGGCACCGGTGGTGCTGGCCCTGTGCCCGGCCCAGCCATGCTGAAACTAAGCTAAGACCAGCTGGTGCAGAAAATGCAGGCCTGCTTTGAACACATTGAAGCTGGTACCGATGAGAGTGCCAGTCAAAACATTCGGGATCCACAACGGCCGGGTCAGTGCATTTAGACTCGCGCCGCCGCACGGCACCGGCGCCAGATTTTTACAAAACTCGCATTAAATGCCGGAGAAAACGCCTTTATGACCTGGTACCGCCAGGCGGTACCGGCGTCAACTAGTAAACAGCCTGCATTACCGCCCTGCGCAGTAACCGACGCCACCCTGTCGGGCGTGGCGGGTCGGTGGACCGATCGGACCGACCGACCGCCCGCCCGCCCGGTGGCCCGGCCGGCGCCCCGGGCGCATGTGCGGCCCGGCCTGTTCACTGGCGATCAATACAGTCCGGGTCAGAAGGCCTAGCGCCGCCGGAGCCGGCTGACCGGGCGGGCACGCACACCGTCACCGTCCGGCGATGCTTGTCGGTGAGTGCGGCCGCAGCGCGCGCCCCGAGTGGGGTCAAGTGACGCGGCCGACGATACAGCCAGCCCGAGCAGGCGTAGCGTTCGGGTGCGCCTGCCGTTCCGGTGTGTTCCGGTGTGGCGGCCGTTCCGGTGTGTTCCGGTGTGTTCCGGTGTGGTGGCCGTTCCGGCGTGTTCCGGTGTGTTCCGGTGTGGTGGCCGTCCTGGCGTGTTCCGGTGTGTTCCGGTGTGGCGGGCCGTTCCGGTGTGTTCCGGTGTGTTCCGGTGTGGTGGCCGTTCCGGCGTGTTCCGGTGTGTTCCGGTGTGGTGGCCGTCCTGGCGTGTTCCGGTGTGCTCCGGTGTGGTGGCTGTCCCGGCGTGTTCCGGTGTGTTCCGGTGTGGTGGCCGTTCCGGCGTGTTGCGGTGGCCGTGGCGTGGTGTCTGCCCCTGCCGTCCCGGCTGACGTCGGCGAGAGCGTCGCTCGGTGGCGACGTCAGCGCGTCTGTGCGTCGACGGCCCGGTGTTCTGCCAGCCACTCACAGTTGGCAGACCCGCTGACCGGACGTGACGCGGCCGCTGACCGGCCGTGATGCGCCCGCCGACCGAGCGTGACGGGCCCGGTGTGGTGGCCGCTGACCGAGCGCGACGCGGCCGCACCGGGCCGCCGGCGCGCCGCCGTAGGGCGCGGTAGTTGGCAATGACGCCGGTGTCGCCGTCGGTTTGGTTTGGTGATGTGACGTCAAGCCTGTGCCGATGTCAAGCCCGGCCGCACCGGGCCGCCGGCGCGCCGGCGTAAGGCGCGGTAGTCGGCAATGACGTCTGCGTCGCCGTCGGTTCGGTTTGGTGATGTGACATCAGGCCTGTGCCGATGTCAAGCCCGAGTTGTGTGGTGATGTCGGGGTCACGCGATAACGCCGGAGCTCGTGGTTGCCTTCGAGTACTGCGCTGGGGTCGGAGCGATGTGTTTATGTCGGGGTGTTGTTGCATTCTATGGCCAATCCCGTGACGGCGTGTTTACTAGCTCGACGTAACGCTGGAATCCAGGAATGTCCCTTGAGAGCTCTGTCCCAGCATGCATGGATCCATGGTGCTATCAAAGTCCGGCTCCGCTGAGTCGGAATTCCTCATGCGAGTGGCCGTGTGTTTCCGGCGATAACGCCCAGGGACCTGGGGGACCACGTGGCAAAAGTTGGGCTGAGCCCCGTTCTGAAAATTTAAACAGAAGTCCTGATCGTCCCCCCCCCCTGCCTCCAAGCTTTGGAGCACTTGTATTGCCCCTGAATTGACGTCACATCGGCATGGGGAACGTCAACGTAAGCACACTGACAGCACATGCCGCGCCGCGCTGTCCCCAGGCGGAGGGCAGGAGATGCGGAGTAAGGCGTACGCCCTCTGCAGGGACTACCTGCATGGCGCCTGGCAGCTGATCGCCGCCGATCAGATGGTCTTCAAGCCAATCAGGTGAGCCGCTCAGCACACGCGAGCGATTCTCGACCAATAGGCTGCCGCTCGGTGTCGCCGCGGCGCGGCGGGCACGGGGAGCACAGTGACAACTGTTGTCGACGGTTGGATGTGGCGTTGGAGAGAACTCTGACTGATAGCAATGGCTATGGTCCAGTAGCCGTCCGCGTGTAAACGGTGCGTATACCTTACACTCTCGCACGCTCGTGCAATCAAGGGGATTTGAGACCAGGACGTCATGCGATAACGACAAGTGACACGAGTAGAGCCGAATTCAGTTGATGCAACCTAAACTGGAAGGCACGTCGATGACAGGGACTCGGTGGATCCTTCCCCACAATTTTGTGTAGCATGTCATTGATCATTAGTTGCGCAATGTGCATGCGGTTAGCTAGATGGCGCCCTTGTCTAGGCAGGATTGGTTTCCCCCAACTCCAGACTGTGGCGGGCCAAGACCGATGATTAAACGACTAAAAAATGTGTGCGTGCGGTCTTCCAGATAGGCTCTTCGAATCGGCAACACGTTATAACAAATGCAGCAAACATAACGAAAGGAACGAAAATAAATCCGCTACTGTAACATTCAAGCGTGAAATGCCACACAACCATCTGGGGCTATTGTTTTACAACTGTTTCCAGTTCCGTAGCGGGTTCCTAGACATAGCCCTGGCATTCAACCGTTTTCGGCCCTTGCCACCCATCTGTCCTAATTTTGTCTGTGCCACAAAGACTCCCTAGTAGTCCCTGCGCCACCTGTTGATGACTCACCCGGACCGGGGGCCAAGGTGAATCGGCCTCTTCAGCTCTGTTCATTAGCGATGACCTTTGGCTCAATACTGTTTTGCTTCTTGTGCTCCCTGTTCAAACAGCTCGATCATCGTTCGTATGTCTCGGACCGGTTTGTGCGCGGCAGACTGTCATACCGCGTGAAAATGATCCAAAATGATAATCCCGTCGGTTTGTGTACACCCATGCACGCAGGTGCTGCACGAAGTCAAGTAGACCCCAGCATGTCGTGGAAGGGGAATGTGTTCCCAGTTGCCAGAATGGCAGCTATGGCTCATGGCGACCATGTCCGTGTATTTGCGATGATTAGGGCCTGTGTATTGTGACCATGCGCGCAGCTGCCACATTCCAGGGTTGTTTATCGCACACACCAGGTAGCTATACATTTGGACGCATTGGCGGCATTTTTTTGTGACTCTGGATACGTGATAGCCGTGCTCTGTCGTGAACATTGCACGGCCGCGTGTTTTTCGTTAAGCACGTGATCGGATGTCTCTCTCGAAATATGTTATTCTTGTCTCTCAACCAGAGATGGGTAACGGAAGATGGTTCACCTTTCATGTTTGCAATGAAGAGAAGGTTTGCGATTTATTTCGACGGAAACAGTTCTGATAAAGTGGGCAGACAAAAAGGAAATACCGAGCGCATTCATTACATCTGAAATTATCAGGCAGATACTCACAAATGTAAATTGTTAAATGTCTTAGCTTGGGCTTAGATGTTTTAACACACTCCTAAAATGAAGGCAATCAAAGTAGTGAGCATACTGCTGTCCTGCAAGCGAACAAATTCATGCTCCGATATTTATGGCCTGGTCTTCCCAGAACCTTCAACAAACGCGAACCACATAAGATACCTTTAAATCTAATGTGATGACTGGGGATCTGGTCATCTCATAGAGAGGCAGGTCTAAATAACCATTGATATTTACTTCTGTTGATTATCGCTCACTCCGTAAGTGCTAGGTTGATGTACAATTTCCCGATCGACTCCCCGTCCGCAGTGTGCCATCATCGTTGAATGCCGAGTTGGCTCAAAGGCGTTTTCCGGCTGCGGGCAATATCACCCTGGTCACATGAGCAGCTGTTCTTCAAATTAAGCTGCCACCCGGCCTTCAACCAAATTGTCGCACATTTAGCACCCGCGAGACATTCGTGAAATTGGAATCCCGCAGCGGCTAGAATCCTTCCCATGAGAGATCGTCCGATCAGAGGGGGGCCTGACAGAGGGGGGCTTGACAGAGGGGGGCTTGACAGAGGGGGGCCTGACAGAGGGGGGCTTGACAGAGGGGGGCTTGACAGAGGGGGGCTTGACAGAGGGGGGCTTGACAGAGGGGGGCTTGACAGAGCGAGTCGCAGTGGCGTGTCCAGATGTAGGCCTGTGGTCACTTGTCTCAAGGTTTCGTGTTTCTCTTTTCCAGTCTCGACGTCCGCATTATTTTGCTGTGTCTACCACCCCTGATCCATATATCTCCTGTACCTCAGCTAGCTAGCCCTGTCTCGGCCCCTGTCAGAGCCCCCGTACCCTATCCTCTCGCGCGCCGCGGCGGCCGGTCGCGCCACAGCAGCCCGTGGTGGAGCTCCACAGCCGTCCGCGGTGACCTCCACAGCCGGCCGTGGTGGAGCTCCACAGCCATCCGCGGTGGAGCTCCACAGCCGACTGTGGTGGAGCTCCACAGCCGGCCGCGGTGGAGCTCCACAGCCGACCGTGGTGGAGCTCCACAGCCGGCCGCCGTGGACCTCCACAGCCGACCGTGGTGGAGCTCCACAGCCGACCGCGGTGGAGCTCCACAGCCGACCGCGGTGGACCTCCACAGCCGTCCGCCGTGGAGCTCCACAGCCGACCGTGGTGGAGCTCCACAGCCGGCCGCCGTGGACCTCCACAGCCGACCGTGGTGGAGCTCCACAGCCGACCGTGGTGGAGCTCCACAGCCGTCCGCGGTGGAGCTCCACAGCCGACCGCGGTGGAGCTCCACAGCCGACCGTGGTTGAGCTCCACAGCCGTCCGCCGTGGACCTCCACAGCCGACCGTGGTGGAGCTCCACAGCCGCCGCGGTGGAGCTCCACAGCCGTCCGTGGTGGGGCTCCACAGCGGTCCGCCGTGGACCTCCACAGCCGGCCGTGGTGGAGCTCCACAGCCGTCCGTGGCGGAGCTCCACAGCCGGCCGTGGTGGAGCTCGACAGCCGTCCGCGGTGGAGCTCCATACCTGTTTTATCCCCTCCTGCTTCAGCTGGAACTGCCTTTGACCGTCCATATTAACAAGACCAGTAAAACATTTCGGCCGGCACTTCCCAGTCTTTAGCAAATTGAGTCAGCATGGATGACTCATGCTTATACATACACACATACATGCATACATACAAAGAAGAGGCTTACATACATACATACATACTCGTCACCTTTTATACATAGTGACCATGGGCTCTGCCTGTCATCACTGGGCAAACTCCAACACGAAGACAAGAGTGAACCGCCAGTATCCTGATTTCACCGCCAGCATCCTGATCCGGGATAGGGATAGCAAAGTGAGCAGGTTTGTGACGTAAGTATTGCACCTCCGACTGAGTAAATTGTAGACTTGTCCAATGTTCGTCACATTCTGGAGCCAGAGGGCTCGAGGTGATCTTTTCATGATAAATGTGTTCCAGTGGCGGCCTGAGCAACCTTCTGTTCTTCTGCGAACTACCAAGATGTCAGCCACCTCTAGGCGACGAGCCTTCCCGAGTCCTGTTGAGAATGTATGGTCAAGTGAGTACTGTGGGTGAAACACGACCTACCGCGGCTAATATACATGTGAATGGGATGGTAGATATTGTCTCCAGCTCTTTTGAGGGAGCTTACAGTTATGATCAGGCAGAGCGTGATTTGGTCCTGGTTACATAAATGATAATATATATATATATATATATATATATATATATATATATATATATGGGCATAAGCTACTTAGCTACCTATACCTATGAATATAACCAGTTAATGGATGCTCACGTGTAAATGTGTGTGGCAAGGACAGAGAGCATAAACATTATGATTTGTTTAATAGGATCATGATGGAAGAGGCAAAAGTGGCGTGCTGTCATCTGAATGTCATTCAACGAAAATTTGGGGGAACTGACACTTTTTCTTCTGCAAGCAAAAGCTTTCAACTTTCTCAAAACCTCTCATCACAATTGCACTGAAAATGAAAAATCGAAAACCCCTGCCCAGTGACAAGACATAAGATATATATTTAAAAAGATATCATCTGCATATCCTGGTATCAGTTTTCAGCCTTTGTGCCAAATCGTGGCATATCGATCGTATAATCCCAGGCAGCCCTGACAAATACGGTCTTCGTACGAACTTGAGCATGAAACTTCAAGTCATTTTTGGATGTGCTTGTCACATTGAAGCCAGGGGGGCTATGTGCTTATTTGGTGTATTTAGATCAAAACCAGGCTAACGAACGGTTTTGAAGAGCTTTAAAGTTTTCGTCTGAATCTTAAGCTCTGTCATTTTGATTGGGTTTGCACTGACTGGTGTCAGCCTGTTTCTTTCATAACGGGCGCTCGAATGAGGGGCGATTTGACCCCGCAGGTTTTTCCATAACAGCTTCCCAAAATTGTGTACATATCTGTGGGCAATTCAATAGCGAATCACCTGGTCTGAAAACTATCACGTGACTTGTTAGGTCGCTGCCCTATGGCAGGTCAAAGCCAGGCAGAAGCTGTCAGCGAATGCAATTTCTATGGAGTCGTTCCAACTCGTGGGACAACGGAGTGTTAGACGAGGCCTCTGTCTCTGAGAAGTCTCTGAGGTAGTTTCTTAGACTATAAGACAATTTAAGTTACCCACACTGTCAGTTGGGTGTCTCTAGCTGTATTAGTTTTGAAGATTTCCTTAGTTCAAACCGACCCCTGGCCGAGCGCGTGGTATTCAACCGGCCACCCGGGCGCATGCTAATCGGCTTCAGTTTATTGCTAGGGGGAGGAGGAGGGGAGGGGAGGGGGTCTGCGTGGCTCAGCTGGGTTTAGAGTGTGTCTTTGACCGTACGCTGCGTTTGACCATGGCTGTGCATCTGGCGGTCATAGATGATAATCTCCCCGGGGCATAACCCCAAACGGCGTACGTCGCCGGGCACAGCCCACCATGAAATATACCTTCTGCTTGCAGCGTTCCCCTCCCATTGTAGGGAAGTGCAGTAAATGACATCACTGCGACGGCGCAAAATGTGTTATTGCACCATCAAGATGAGCTTTGATAGCACCCAGTTTACTGCAGGAGCCGCGGTGCTCCACGAACAGTGCGCGATTGCTGACCTGATGCGACGATCAGGTGCGGGACGGGGCGCACGAGTCGACCATCACCGAGTCTGTGATCTTTACCCTGCTGGCTGAGCGTCGGCTGGGGCCGAAGCTGTACGGCATCTTTCCCGGAGGCCGTCTGGAGGAGTACATCCAGGTCAGTGAGCTGTACTGTCAGGATCTCAACTGCACGGCACACTCGATGGCGGACGGCTGGAGGGAAGCATTGGGTAGCAGAACACATTAGACGGCGTTAACCGTCGCCGTTGCACATAACATTTTCCCTGGTCTCGATCTGCCAAGGAGTATTGGACACTCTCTTCATTTTTTTCCATTTCATATGGAATATCAAAACTACCTTTACGGAGTATTAGCCAGTCCTGCACCTTACCCAACGAGAAACCTTTGGCCCATAACAAGCTCTAGCTTACTTTGGGCTCGGCTCCTGAGGATTTTCATAGGACTTCTTAACAGACTGGGGTATCCTATCCGCTGAATTGTCCTCTGCTTCCCCGCTGAACCGTCCCAAACCGATCTTCTGTAAATGATCGGCGCTTTTTTTTGGGTTTTTCCAGCGGCTTGCACTAGGTGTCAACAATGCTGCCTGCGTTCGTGAACGGGCCATGCCGTGTTTATGCCTTGCCCTTGCGACGTTAGCCTGTTCAGGGATGGTGTGGTGCCACCCGCCTGTATGCAGCAGCCAGGCTGCTCATTATCACGGATGCTTTACCCAGTGTCGTCAGATTCCGGCTTATCCATGCCGGTATGCATAACACGCGCGCACTTCTGGGTCCGCAGGCGCTCCCACTCTCCTGCGGTGACCTACGTGACCCGCAGATCAGCCAGAAGATCGCCGAGAAGATGGCCATGGTGCATTCACTGGAGGTGCCCATCTGTAAAGAGCCCACCTTCCTCTGGCAGACTATGAAAAAGTAAGCTATTTTGAGGTTGTAACTTAACGAGGCCTTGTTTGTATGCTGGTAATGATAAGAAATGGAATACAAATTTATCGATTTCGATTCTCTGAATTAGAGCCTTTTCGACCAGGAATTTTCATTTCAGGGCTATGGGATGAAGGAGAATGGATAAAGATGGGGTAGGACTGCAGGCGTCCGTGGTCAACCGCTGAGCATTAGCCCGCGCAGGGACCCCCCGGATATGCACTGGGCGTCCGGTCGGAGTCACCCTCCCCACTGGGCCTCTAGGGACCCCCCGGGATGTGCACTGGGCGTCCGGTCGGAGTCACCCTCCCCACCGGGCCTCTCGGCCCACTCATGGCTGACGCACGCAGCCTGCCTCGGACAAATAAGGCGTCGCGAGGATGCAGGATTAAGCGAGATCAAGGATAAGAGAGCTGGATAAATTTATCGAACAGGAGCATGCTCTACGACAGATTGTTGTGGGTGCTCATTCTGTTCAGCCTCCACTTATCCGTTTCCAGTGGGAGCGCTAATGGTCTGATCTTCCCCTAAGCTGGGCATTGGGCGAGCAGTAATGCTGCCCCTCATGGGAAGGCGGCAGGTCACCATGGACCACCGGCGAGCTGTGCTGCCACTTGTTAGCGGAACTGATCGCTTGGGCAGGTGCTGGTGCTGCCATCTGTCATCAGGATGGAATAGCGTGTGAGAGCCAGTGTCGGCCGCTGCTGCCATCTGGTTAGTTTCCTGGCTCGTCGCGTGATGCAGCGACGCGCAGCGCTCCGCCACGGACGAGGCAGATGGCGCTGGTGCGGCAGATAGCGTCCACTGGTGACACGGTCCCAGACAGCGCTGGTGCGCGTCCACTGGTGACACGGTCCCAGATAGGAGCGGGCAACAGACAGCTGCTCCGCATTTCCATCGTCTGTCATATTATACACGTTCTAGAATTAAAAGCACGCGTTTAGCTTCAAGAATATGCGTGGACGAGGCCTAGTGCACGCATTAACCACAGCCAGTTAGCACGAGATTAATTCCACTTACAGTTTATCAACTAAGTTTGTGTCTGCCCGTTTCCATGACTCTTTAAGCCCTTTGAGATAATTTCTCAGGTCCCAGATGATCCGTTTTTCAGATTTTAAAACACTGGCCTTGTGTACTGAGCATATATACGACAACGGCACGACACCGAAGTCAAGGCCGAAGACGGATGTTTTAAAATAAATAACCCACAAACCAAAGCAAAACAAAGCTTTGCAATGTTGCCTTCAAACCTCGCACCCGCGTGCCGAAAGTGAAGCCATAGGCTTCGAATAAAAAAAAAAACGCGAAGCCAGAACCAAACCCGTCAGTTTAAAACCACAAGGCCGGAACTGAAGCAAAATATAGTGTACAACGTTGTTTTGCGAAAGTAAAGTTATTCATGTGCTGCTAAAAATGTATGAGATCAAAGACTGTCGTCAGGGTTTGCTGAGTTATAGAAACGAGGTGTTACCGCTTCGAATGGCGATTGTTCAGACTATGGTTCCCGTCTTGTGTGACAGTATACCGCAACGTTTCGGGCAATGGACTTCGCGACTCTCTTCAGATGCTAATTACTCCTTGGCTGATCAGCTGGTATACCACGCGTGAGCTTATAGCCATGTGTAAGTGCTAATGTCTAAAAGCCGTGCGGTATATTGGGGTGACGGGATGGGCAAGTCTGTTTTTGTGAAGCAGAATCGTAACGACAGCGAAAGAATCCTCTTTTTAAAGCCGAGGCGAAGCGAGTTCAAAATGGCATGCAACCGACGCTTGGATGGGAAATAAAATAGTTTGAAGTTAAAGCCGCACCCGAATACATTGGAGGAGAACTGCAGCTTCGAGGAGCCGAGGAAGAAGCCGAAGCTGACCTCGTCTCCATGCCCGTTATCTACCATGTCGGTGTCTGAGTGGCATGCGTACTCACTACAACATCGATGTGAGACCCCCTTTGCTCAGGCTCATTACAATAATTGCTGGCTGGATTGCTGCGTAAAGACTGCGTACTTTCATGGTTGTAGTGCTTTTTAGGTGTAGCCCAATCTGTTGCGCTTACCACTATGACATATTGGCCCTCTTTCTCTGCAGGTGGATCCAGCTATCTCATACATCACTCAGCGATGTGACGCTGGCCGACAACCCCGAAAAGAAAGATATCATCAAGGCGTTAAGGCTTTGTAACTACGATCAGGAGATGGACTGGATGCGGTAAGCTGGCAGCTAACTTGCCACTGAGTGTCCACCCCCGGCGTGTAGGCGAATCCAGGGGGGGGGGGGGGGACAAAATGAACTATCATCTTGGCGGAACAAAAAAGGGTAAAGCTAAAGTTTGCTGCACTCTCACGAAAGCCGTATGTAAATGTTTAAATCAGGTTTGTCAAAGTAAGTTTTTGCTGTTTTTGCTAACGCCTGTTCAAACCGTTAGTTACATTTTCACAAGCAATGGTCACGGATGCGCATTGGTCGATGTATGATGGATTTTATGCACCATACGTCCACAAACATGAAGTTGAGGCTACGAAAAAGTAGTTTGGCCATACTAAATGGGTCCACACTTTTCCAGTTGCTTTGTTGCTGTTGCTGTTTCTGCGAGATCATTTTGACTTGTGGCGTTGCACGAGGCTGTTTCCATCCGCCGAGGCGTCGATGTTTGCGGTCAGGTCTATCATCTTGTGTTCCCCAGCCCACTGACCGGATGGACCCGTCTCTGCCCCAGAGCATCAATCGCGGCGTCCATTCTCGTTTCGCGCGGCATTACTCCACTCCATCGGCAAAGGCAGCTGGTTCGAACTATTTGATAGACTGGCAGCAGTCGAAAGATAACTGTTTGGCAGCATTATATGGGTATTAGATAAGGGAAAGGCTTAAGTGTCTTTTTGAAGATTTATTCACTCTAAGTATTTAAGCACGTCTTAATAATGCTAACTCAGCTGACAAAAATTTCAGCTATGTTTAAAATCGTTCGCATTGCACGTACGAACAAATTGCCATTGAGTTTCATGTATGTGTACAGATTCGTGGATGCCCTCTGTATTAAACCGTTATGCCTGTTTTTTTTTTTTAGATCACTTCGTGCGCTATATCAATTTTGAAGTTATTTGTCTCTTACATGGAGCTGGTGGGAAGGGAGCACACTGCATCGGTGCTTCTATTTTTAGTGCTTTAGCCGATCACAATTCAATAAAAAAGCTAGGCGTAAATCGGCCATACTTAGGTTGCTCGTGTTCCGAACGATCAAAAAAGTGTTTTTTAATATAATTTTTTTGCTGAACTCAAAACAGCTTAAAAGGATGCGATGCTGTGTTAATCCAATTTCAATAACTTAATCGCAGTCACGCGGTGATTTTTTGAAACTCAGCTGTCTGAAAATACCAAGACTATGCGTATTATACTGTTAATTTGACGTAGCGCGACGCCCCGACATGATGTTCGCCATTGCTGCGCCCGGCGTAATGAGCAAAACATAGCATGCCCAGCCACTGGTGCCGTCAGGATGTCACTCAGCGCGCGCACAGTAACGCGCACGTAGCCAAGAAACAATAGATAAAGTCACAAAGTCGCTGTTTGCCGAGTGAGTTCGAATGATGTCGCCGTGCTGTTGTAATCAATCAAAGTCAGTTCTACAAAATAAAAAGCAGAAAACGATTATTTTGACGCCTTAAGTTTCGCACGGGCAGGAGTCATGATACAGAGTTGTGACATGCGTGATGTGATGATTCTGCCCTCGTGCTGTCTGTGCAATGGACAGCCAAATACATACGTTGCTTCAACTTAGAAACCGATGAGGATACGCCACGCCTACTTGCTTATGTTGGCTGTCTTGAGAACATCCCAACAGCCATGATTTTTCAAATAAAGCTTCCTTTCGCCGCGTGTCTCCGCAGAAAATACTTCGCCAAAACGTCATCGCCCGTCATGTTTTGCCACAACGACTGTCAGGAGGGCAACATCCTGAGGCACGACGTCAGCAGCAGCCAGGAGCCACGGCTCACGCTCATCGACTACGAGTACTGCAGCTACAACCACCGCGGCTTCGACCTGGCCAATCACTTCTGCGAGTGGATGTACGACTACTCGCCGCCCGAGTACCCGTTCTTCCGGGACCGGCCCGGCCAGTGGCCCGACCGGGAGCAACAGGTTAGCAGGCGCTGCACCGGCCTCTTGTCCACCGAGGCTGAGGGCTCAGGGCTCAGGCCGAGGGGGTCGTCCTGCCGACCTGTTGATGGAGGTCGTCAGCGGCGGACTGAGAATTACAGCCCTCTTGCTGGATGGTCGTGTCATTTGCAGGTTGTTCTTGAGTTAGCGCATGCGCGAGATTGATATTCGGGTTGCGATATTTCCGTTTGTGTGCGAACCACGTCAGTAATCTGCATTTCTCCGCGACCTGAGACGACCAGGTCGCGGAGTGCCAGACACATGTCTGCTATGCCTGCTTACTGTCAGAAATCATCTCGCTTTTTATATTAGTGCACCAACGTTTATGTTATGCCCTCTATATTGATATAGTGGGCCCCAAGCTACGATTTATCTGTGGACTTTCTCCTACCACCCAACAGCGCGTGTGTACCATCATCTGTGTGCGTGCGTGTGCGTGTGCGTGTGCGTACGAACTGTCAGCTGTAATACATCTGATAACATTTCCGAACCGTCAGTTGCGCTACATCCGCGCGTACCTGCGAACCCGGGATGCGGCCCCCGAGAACGACACCGACTCCAGCAGCGCCAGTCCCGGACCTCACGAAGAGGAGCAGATGCTGGAGGAAGTCAGAGTCTTCACTCTTGCATCGCACCTCTTCTGGACACTCTGGAGCATCGTGAATGCACCAGTGTCCACCATTCCTTTTGGCTACTGGGTGAGCGATTGTTCATTTGCGACTGTGAAGTGTTTTTATAACGATTTACTCACCTTATATTGCTCCATAAACATATTTTGTTGATGTTCTCTGTTTCCGTACGCGTTTGACACCAAATTGATTCAAAATTACGTTACTTATTAAGTGCATTTGCGAGGAGCATTATTCACATAGATAAGACAGTAGTAATAGCCTTACTCCTCGGGAAAAAACCGGGGAATGGAGATATAGATGCGTTGCACATCCATATCTTACCTCCATTCCCTCAGTTTTTCCCCGAGGAATTGGGCTATTACTACTGTCCTAACAACGTTGGTTCGAATGAAGGGCATTAACAAAGCATAAGCCTAAGAGTCCCGTGAGAGCCAGTGAGATCATCTCAGGGAAGCTGTGCGACAGTCTCTTGACTTCATGCCTCAAGCCCTCCTACGCGTTCCGTCACGCACTGCACACTGATGTGAACCGTTAACATGCTGAACAAGGCTCAGTCTGACCTTGGCTCACTGTGGCAAGTGGACACCAACGTCGCCCTGTTCTGCCCCTGTCAGGAGTACGGCCTGTGCCGCCTGCGAGCCTACCAGCGACACAAGCAGCACCTGCTCGAGTCGGACCCCCAGTGCTCGAAGACACCCCAGGGCCTCAAGCGGTCCGCCAACGAATTGGACTAGCCCACGGGGAGGGGACGGATGTCCTTGTAGGGGGAGGGGGACACGCTTACGCCGCCGCCGCCGCCGCCGCCGCCGCTCCACGTCGGCTCGGGTGAAGCGTCGGCGGGGAGCGAGACGGCGTGACCTCCGGTCATCGGCAGAGCCGGTCGGTCGTGTGCCGATCCTCGCGGCAATGCGCGCCAGCACAGCAGCAGCCTGCCGCGTGCCTTTTGTGAGCACAAGTGAGGTCTGGCTGGTAGTATATCAGAAGATCAGGGACACCTGCTTGAGACATGAGGCTTCGCTAGCTCTCTCGGCGGCTGTGGAGTGGCGGTGTGGTAAAGCGATTGCTCACAGTGACTGGGCTGGATCCAGGAGCGGGTGCCAGTAATTTGTTCTTAATGTGTTTTTTTTGTCATGCGAAAATTGTTGCACGGCACGTGACGTGCAAAAATATGCGGCCGGCTCATTCCAGGTTTCTGTTTTGCTCTCTTATCCTTTGTGTGTATTATCGGACCAACGTTTGTCAGCCGCCACACTGGATTCACATGTGTGAAGGGTCCACAGAGGTCATGGGTCAGAGGCGCGCGCATTTACGCAGCCGTTTCCTGACAGCGAGAGCAATGTCACGGCAGGATAAATTCCAAGCGACCATCAACTGCTTTGTGCGTGGTGGAACCCCCGGGACATTGACCAGTGCGTATTCTGGTCAGCAATTTTGCAGGGACGGTTGTCTGGGCTCAGAAGTCTCAGAGGACAGCCACGGTGTGAGCAGGTCTTACTCAAGTGAAGACCCACCATTCCAAGCACCGTTTGCTTTCGATGTGGCGACAGCGTGCGTCGAGCTGACTGCACATTCCGGGTGTGACACTGTACGGTCTCGAGTGCTCGTACATTTTATATGGCGATAGAAGTTTGAACTTTGAGCTCGGTGGCATGACCAGTGGAGACCAAATATATGCGTTGCAGCGCTATGCAAATGAGCAGCGATGAATGGCTTGGCCCCATGGCTTAATGCACTGAACCACTCCTTTACGTTGTGTGACTGTGAACGTTGGAAATGTGACGGAATCTTTTTTAGGGTGTCAAAATGGTGTATGACTTCAGCATCGTGTCATTGTGACTTGTGATATGAGTATCTGTCATTTAAACGCAATCAACATATATTCAGGACAAACATATCTAGCTATATCTCTTTTCATTTTCTATCGTAACGTTGCGAACAAAACCAAAATACTATACGACTGATAGTTGAAATTCAAGCCATGCCTTGACTTCCCAGCGTTGTGAGCCGAAAACGAAAAGCAAAGGTGCAGGCACTGCACGGTTAGGGATCTGTCGGAGCTCAGATGTGGCCTTGAAATTCGAATTGTTCTTTCACCACATAAAACAAATAGGACAAGAAGATGTTTCAGTTGGCGCGATCCCTTCCACCATCCCCGATAAGAGAAATTGGCTCTTTCATCTCCTGTAGCCACTGCCGTGCGCCGTTAGATTTCCGTTTTGTGACATCTGGATTCAGTGCACTACACCGACCTCTGGAAATGTTTTGTCATGGGTTGTGTGCAGGCCTCCTAAAGTTGTTAACGGGGCGCCCCTAAACAGTTTCATAAGGTTGGGCTAAGCAAAAGCTTCAAACAAGTAACATGCGCATACACGAAAAACTCGGCCAAGGAAAGGCCCGGTTCGTTAAGTCTGTTGCTTTGGCAAAAATCCAAACTCAGTGTGTGCTATGGCGTGTGTTAGTGCTGTGGCGTGATTTCCAGCTATGAGACGGCACTGCAATGTTCGTAATCGTAGATATCTATGTTCGCTATTCAGATGGCACCATTGCTGCCAAATGCACTGATATTGCACCCGTGCTGCATGGATTTGCATCCTTCTGGACCCGCGCGGAACATCACAAACCTCTTTCGATTAGCGATTCCGTGTCGACAAGTTCTCGGAGGGTGCCAAGGGTTCGAGATTGGCACGCTTGTCTACTCGTGATAAGTTCTATTTGTGATTTGTAAACGACAAGTCATGTGAAGCCACTGGCGCTGAATATACACGACATGAAACTACTGCGATTGTGTTTCATTTTCAACCCCAAAAGCGTGCAAAACATGCGCTGTCTAGTTGCATGGCAGTTTCCTGTTATCAGCACGGTGCATGTGGTGGACTCGACAGCCATGTGCTGTGTTGGCTCGACAGTCATGTGCTGTGTTGGATTGATAGCCATGTGCTCTACTGGCTCGACAGCCATGCGCTGTGTTGGCTCGACAGCCATGTACTATGCTGGCTCGACAGTCATGTGCTGTGTTGGATCGAGAGCTATGAGCTCTGCTGGCTCGACAGCCATGTGCTGTGCTAGTTCGACAGCCATGTGCCCTACTGGCTCGACAGCTGTGTGCGGTGCAAGCGACCGCCAGCCGGCGCCCCGAAGTCTACTCAGCGATCGGCGTAACTCACAGGGATTGTCATGTACGGATAACTTTTTGTTTGCTCTGGGTCACTACGCAGGCAAATAGGTCGGCCGGTCGGCGATGGTAATATAGCGCAATGGACATTGGTGCATGTCTACGCAAAGGTAATAGCAAGCATGTACTAAGGTCGATAACAAATATGTGAGGATTCCCTAACATATTAGGGACACGCTGGTGCATATGTACAAGACAAGGCGCTTTTTATTTTTGAAGTCTCTAGTGCTTGACGGATATCCTCCCATGCATCGCTCTCAAGAATTGAAAACAAAGTACACTATTTGTGGTTGACTGTACTGCCTCCCTCTGGGCGCGCCGCTGCTACTCGCGTCCAGCCTGAGCCCACAGCTGCAGTGCTCTGCCAAAGATCAGCCACCTGATAGGCACCGGGGCGTGCGTTTGATTCGTCTGTGAAGCAGCGGCGTTTGTGTAAAGCCGGTCAGAGACTGCTGAGTACAGATACGTACAGGCGTGCCCGCAGGACGTCATGCAGCGATGCAGCATGCAGCAAAATCCAGCGCCTGTGCTGGGACAATCGCGCGTGGACGGCTATGTTAACACGCGCCCGGGCAGAAGTCGGCTTGACCAGCTTAACCCCCGAAGGGTTTTTACAAAAGGATTTTAGAACAGCGCGGCGTAGCGGCGTCAAACTTTGACGGCTATGGACGGCTGAATAGCGAATTTTTTGGCGTAAAAACTGAATGTGCTTGGTAAGGACGCTGACCTATTGCGGGTCAACATCATGCTGTGACTGTCATCAAAGCAACTTTCTGGGAATCATTTAATCTGATGTGACAAGGGAGTGTTAGGCAAAGCAACATATCTCACTGGTCAGGCGTAAAGGTCAGACTGAGGTCGAAATCGACCTGGTTTTTACTGCGGAGCCTGCTGTATGGGGTAGACAGCTGTACCGGGTGCTCATATCCGGTTTTTCGATAACAGGGACTGCAACAAACATCTTCCGTGGACTTCTTTAAGGTCCGCGTAGTTAACTAACCCAAAATGACCCAGTAGCCAATATTCTAAAAGAACGTCACTGACGTCATTTTTTCTTCATTCTTACGTCAGCGAATATCATACGCCGTTTGGCAAACAAAGGACGGTACAGAAATGTGTCACAAAAAGCAGACAATGTTTAAGGAGGCCGTTTGAAGGGAGTTTGGGTGCCGTTTGAGCATTATAAGCCCCCTTGTGAGATAATTTGTGACGCAGCACTGCATCGTAGTTGTAAAGAGGCCACAAATTTTACCTCAAATAAAAACGTCACCCTACCCCGACGTTTTTTTCGACTAAGACATGACACTCGTGCACTCCGAGTGAGATTTCAGCCATTTGAGATGAGAAGTGAAACCAAGAATGCTCCAACATTGTTCCAACTCTGTTTTTAATGCAGTCTCTTGCGCCTCATGTCTTTCTTACGTTCCATTGTGGGGAGGGCATTAGTAATATACTGGGTTGTCATACGCATTACTAGAGCATGCGTCCACGCTAGGGGGTGCCATCAAAACGTCCCAGATGGCACCGTCCGGTGCTTATATTATCCAAGATCGCAGCATGCAGCGTTCATAACATACAGCATGCGTCCAATTCCATGCCCATTGGGGGCGTTTATGGCATCCAAGCGCGCAACATCTAGAGTCGCAACTTTCAGAGTCGTAACGTCCAGTGTTCAAAACGTCCAGCATTCGCGGCACTCAGGTTAGTTCGGATTTCTGCTACTAGATGATGCTACAGAAGCATTTTTTACCCCTGCTACTGTTTCCTTCTTTTGTCAGCAGATGGCATAGTCAACCCGGCATTCCATCGATGATCACGTGATACGTACAGTAAAGCATGGCTACTTTAAATTACTTAGACGCCTGGAGGCCTTGTCCGACTTGGGCGCGGCCGCTCCCCGGGTCTTGCCACCGGACTGAGCGCAGTCGCTCCAGGTAGCGCCGCTACCAGAGGCGTGGGGGCCGGCGCTGGCTCGGTCGGGACCGCTGCGCCCGGGGACAAGCGGGCTCTCCCGCCCCGCCGACGCTTCCGGGGCCCCACATGCCGGGGTACGGTCGGTTGCCCAGGGACCCTTCATATTGGTATCGGTTTCTTTCCACTTGCTTGGAGGACTCTGCGTTGTTGCTGGAACCCATACAAGGTAACGCACCGAGACACTCGATGCTCAGGGGTCCTCTTCACTGATCTATGGGTCTTTCCCCTTGAGCTCATTTGCTGAGAACCTTTCACTTGTCAGACCCTTCTCTGTTAAGCTGACCGGGCACTCTTGATCACACAGGGGCATTAATTCATGTGCGCTGGTCTTTGGTTATTCCCTTTGCTCAGGAGATCCTGTGCTCTGGCCGGACCCTACATGTTAGCCTGCCGGGGCACTCCCTATCATTCAGGAGTCTCACCATATTGGTGTTCGGCTCTTCTTGCTTGCTGTGAGGACCCGACATTGTTGACGGGAGCATCTTTGTTGGCGTGCCGCGACAGCTTCGATCTCTCGGCTGCCGTCGCTGTTGGTCTCGGGTTTTCCACATTATAGGAGGGCTAACGCCATTGAGAGGGACCTAAATCTTACTAATTTTAATTTGGGCTTTACCTGTTGCCGACTTATGAATGAATGTGTGCCTATGCCGAGTACGCCGATGAATTTGTACTTATGAATGTCGGAAATAATTTTACGCGCCGCTGACGCCGCGCATATTATTTCCGTTGGTTACAGAACTTGTGACGGTTATTAGGCCCGTACAGTGCGTTTTTAATGCATTCTGAATGCTAGACTATTTTGTACTCCGTCGCAACAAACAAAGCAAGAATTCCGCATTAGTCCTCAGTGATCATCTAATCTCGTCAACTCGCCGGCTTGCCGCATATAAACTACGAATCGAGTACGTGTTTGATTTTGGTGGTATTTAGCAGCAAATTTAAGTGCATATTGCCATGTTTTCTCATAAATACTTAGCGCCAAAATAAATGTATCCACCATAATCTGGAGAAAACGAACAAGCTCCATGTATTTGCATGCATAGCACGCGTAGTTTTCCACAGCTGCGACAGAAAGCTGGTTTCCCGTAGAGAAATTCCATTCATAAGAATATCAAAACTCAATGACCAGAATACGAGGATTCTTGTGGAAGGGAACCCTAAACTCAATGGAACTCACAAAGTAAGAGGTCTTCTCCAGTTTTCTAGTATTTTGAAGGTGAAGATGTGTGGAGATGCAATTACCGTGGCGTTTACTGCTTCCGATCCCTCCGATGTGGTGCTTGCGATGTGTTTTTTGTCAGTTTTGGGCAGTGATTTTGCTCAATTCGCATAAAGCACTAAATAATGGTACATATATACATATACATATATATATATATATATATATACTTTTTGACCACAGACAGACGCAGCTCCCAGAGTTTACACGGTATATGACTAGTGATTGACTCTTCTATATATCTAGCTCTTCGTTTCATGTCTGCTCCTTAAACGCTTAAAATCAGAACATAAAACACAAGCATGCAAACAACAATAAACTTTTCATTGGACAGCACTCACTGCCGTTTTGGCTTGACAACACACAAATTGTTAGCCGTGCAGAAGACATCATTAGCATTACACACTGTGAATAACACATTCAGCACGGCCAATCACAACACTGCATGCCAATCACCTGATACCCATACCATTCCTCAGTGTTTTGTTCCTTGTCTGCATGATTTATTTGTCATGCTGCTCCGAAGAGATAATTCAATAGTCCGATTTATTTGTTTACTTAGAAGTTGTGTCTGGTCATGAATGAGTAATGCATTCAGAATGTTGAGCTTTCCTGTTTCGTGCGTAGCTGATCGTATTTAGTGTGTTGTGCAATTGCTTGGCGCGTATGGAGAGTATTATTGTCGGACTGCATGTAATTCCTTGGTGCCCGATCCGTGAGGCGCTGTGTGAGACGTCGGAACAAAAATGTTGTAGTTACACCATTGTAGGATACGATACCTTGCAGCAACACCGGGCAGAGGTCAGCAGGCGGGTAGAAATGACCACGCATCGAAAATAAGTACCCTACAACGCTTTATGAAATCAGTTGGTACACGTACAAAAGCCGTCCCGGGCCGGATATTTCACCGGTGCAATTTTAAGATTAGTGGTCGGGAAAGATTACCGCATAGAGCACCACGGATGCAAGATGCAGTGGCGTAATCTGTCCTGCCCGTAATGCTGCAACTGCGAATTTCGTCCAGAGGATCAACTGGTAAACCAATTGAGTTGCTTTGCTAAAACGTTCTGGTCAGGGACTGCCTGTCAGGCCCCCGACCCAGGATCTTATCAGAACAGAAAGTTCAACATAGTTATGCCCCTGGAATTTATGCCTCTTTCAGAATAAAGGGTCGAGACCCTTTCTGGTACTTCCTGGAATTGGGGGCTTCTTGAAAATAATGGTCATGGTGCCCCAAAATGAAGGGTTTGGTGCTTCCCCGCCGAATGGGCCCACGCAGGATTTCGTCGAGGGGCACGGCATGAACGTCTGATGCCAACTGCACGGCATGAACGTCATGAACTCCAACGTCCGAAACGGTCCAAGTCCTCCCGTGCTGTTAGGCAATTATCTCCGTCGCGGTGAAAGGCTTA